CAATCAATTTTAAAAATTTCATGTATATTTTGTGGCCGCCCAAACATTTTAATTAGATTTGCTCTGTCATCAAAGCAGAAGATGGAATACAAACTTTAATAGAACTCAACCATGCATGGTGGTTACTTGACCATATAATTTAATAACCCAAATCTGATTCTCCATTGCTCCATGCATTGTCTAAATACACATCACAAATTAATTGGTGTTACTTGACGTCATTAATGGTTAATATTCGATAAAAATAAATAAACTTGCTATATATTATATATAAGTCAATAAGCTCGTCGCATGTTGCTAGTGTACTATGACAAATTAATTAACAAAATGGATAGTGACAAATTTTTTTATGAATTTTGGATAAGTTTGACTTTGGTTTATAATGTTGATTAATATCATTCTCCTAATTAGTAACCAGCATATATTTAATGCTAGGCGGCGTTTAATTGAAATAAATCATATCTTGAAATCATTCATTATAATAAACACAGAATCAGACACATAAACGTTGAATAGTGGGTAAGGAAAGAAAATATAATGTTTCGAATAAACAAAACAAGATAAAGAAAAGAAGTTGTGATATATATTCCAAAACTCCCTATTTTTATTAACATTTCAAATTTCTGTCTATTTGAATAATGTCAAATATTTCTAGAAAAGAACAAAAAATCACTATTCAACCCTGTAATTATTCTCTTATCACCTTTTATAATTAGTAATGATTTAGGGTCAAGTATAGGATTGCAATAAAACTTCTAGAAACATCACTAGTTAAAATCTACTATGCTCTAATCATTGCATTATACAATATTACAATCCATACATTACAGAACAACAAGTAATATTTCTTCTCTCTTTGATTTCGTTGATAATTCATCACACCGCTCCAAGTTTTTAGCACACCTTATCATTTGTTGTTTCTCATTCTACCAATTAGAAGAATTTCAAAACATACATACTAATTAATAAGACCTGTTATTCTCTTCCATTCGTTATTTTCTTCACTTCCCCTATCTAAACATACCCTAGCTAAACATATTTTAATCATAACAAGGTTTTCTTTAACGTAAAATACATGTTTTTATCGAACACTCCAGTGAGAAATGATGAGTGTATATTACAAAATAATGAAAGATTACAGCCATAACCCAGTAAAATTATAAAAACAAAAAATTTACGCGTTAATTTTGTCCAATATTGTTCGAGAAAATTATATATATATATTTTTTCGGAGTTGCATACAGTACAACTCAGCATGAACTTGACGAGAGCAACATCATCCTTTTTATATTTTCAAATTATGAAAATTATATTATCTATTTTGTCTGCAATGCCGGCAAATTTGACACAAACAAATCTGAGTAAAATAGCATAAACCAAAAGGAAAAGGTTAAATTCTAGCTGGTGATATTTTAATCCACTGAGTGGTCACTTTCATTCTAGAAGTGGAAGATGGATCGAAATTCAAGTTTCACTTTTTCAAAGTGATGAGAAATTAATGACTATGATGTTTATATTTAAGATGGAACTAAATTAAATTAGTTTTGAGTTCTTGACGGGTTATGGGATTAACTCCCGGCATGACTAAATGTGATCTCAATCAGCCCAATACACATTTCCATGTTAAAACGTCCAACCGGAAGAATAAAAATAAAAATATTTTATTAAAAAACATAAAAATGGACTCACCTCTGCATATTTTAATGCATTTTAATATTTTTTTAATTATTATTTATTATTTATTAATTCCTGTATTACTGCATTAATGCATTGGCTAACAACATCCATAATTATATATTATTTTATTTGACTGGATAAAAAAATAATCTCATTTTTTAAATTATTTTATTTTTCTTCATTTTTTCATGAAGTTAAACAAACAAAGGGCTCATACATTACATTGAACATTCAATACTAAATAAATCGAAATAATATTCATATAATAAAAATATACAATTGTTTATATAAATAAAAGAGAAGTGTGAAATAAAATAAATGATGTGACAAAAAATAAAAAGAAAAATAATGTTATAAAACTCATTATATAATTTTATTATATGAGTAAGATATCTCCTGCACAAATATCTCAAGACACTCAGGTTTATACATGTCCCCACTTCTAAATCAAAATCTAATTAACTTAAGCATGTTGTAGGAACCCAGCCTCTAGATCTAATTCCAAGGCACCAGCAATGTGTATAACACTATTAATTCAAAATGTTTGTCTAAAATATTGTATTAGATAAATAATTTCATTCTAAGCAGATTAATGAAATTTTATTTATAAAAAAATAATATAATTTATAATACAAAATCTTAACTTCATTATTTTACTTAAAATATAACTATTTACCACATGAAATATCTTAGGCCAACCTTAATGAAAAAAACTAGCTTAACGAAAGATACAAAAAGTAAAACGATAGAAAGAATTAAATGTCAGTTAAATGTAATATCAGCATTTAAAATTAATTTTGATTCCTGTCTCGACTATCAAAGTGCAAATCCTTAGTATCTTGCCTTGCAAAGTTAGAAATTTCAGATAAAAAAATATATTAAGTGAATATGAAAAATTAAAAATAAATAATCTATTATCGTACTTTGATTTAATAGTTCAAATCAAGCTAACACAATCTTGATTGAATTAATTTAATTTGAATTAACAAAAAAAATTTTAAAAAATTTGATCAATTCGATTTTTCTATTCTAAACTACAAGCAAACCGAAATAATTAGCGTTACCATGTACCAAGGTTCCACTTCATTTTGATGTACTGAAGCTGATGAATTTTTATTTTTTTTTCATTTATTGTGATTGTGAAGTTTTTAATAATTCTTCTAATTTCAAATTTTCTAACCTAATTATTGAAGGCAAGTTATCCATATCAAATATAAAAGAAAATTCTTATTTAAAATGACCTATGCTTGATTCAGACATTTTGGGTGTAACGTACAACTTGCCCACATTCTTAATATGGTTGTTCAAAATAATCAAATAAACTAAATCGCACTATGATTTATAAATCAAACTAAACTATATCTTTTAAAAACTGGTTTTTACAATCCAATTCTAAATTTTATTTTATTTTTTACTTTGCACTAAGACTCAGTTAATTATGTTGTAGACACTTCGATAAGCCATGGTATTCAGACCAAACTTCTTACTCTTACATTCATATATATTACCACTTCATACCCCCTCACCATCGTCACTTAAATAGGCTGAAAGTTGAAAACCAGTGCGGCTGCAATGGTTTCTGCCAAATGATGTTTTTAATATTATAATCTTCGTTTTATTTTATATAAATAATTTGCTTATACATATGATTTCTTACAATATATGTCAACATGATGTCTATTCATGAAATTATAAAAATTAAATATTGACACATAATATGTAGTTATTCCTACACTCTAAGGAACTTCCATAAGAAGGAACCATTAAAGAGAATCACATCCTTAGAATATAAATAATTATTTGTGCAGTTTAACTCAAGAATTTCTAGAGAATAAATGTAAGGTTTACCCAAATGCATAATTCATTTCTGCTATGAATAAATGTTTAATAGTTCACCTTTAACGTGTTATTACCTTTTCTTTAATTTATATTAAAAATGTGTCTAATTTAGAAAAAAGATAAATATAAAGATCATTTTACACTGCTTTAACACAAGATAAGATATCTAAAGAAATGTCAATGTGAGTGCGAAAATTAGAATGTTAAAAAAATTAATAATCCAAAGGACAAAATTGTCAAGCACTAATACACTCTTAACATCATTCCCTTTCAATTTTGGAAATCTCATAGCTACGAATATTTAATTATAATTGTTTTATAAATATAACAACCCGAAGGAAAAATTGTTAAACACTAATATACTCTTAATGAATTCGTTTTCAAGTTTAGAAATGTAATTAATATTTTTATAATTATTTTAGTTATTAATGAAAAAAAATATTAAATATATTATATATTACATATTTTTAAGATATTAAATATTCTTTACTTGGTATTTTATCTACTATTGAAAATATGATCTTAAGAAAAATGTCATAGTATTTAAGTGTCTATTTAAAAAAAATTATTAATAATTTGTGAAAAATAAACTTAATTTAATATATTTTTTTAATATAACTTATTAACATAAATTATTTTTAATTTATTTTTAATAAATTTTGTTAAAAATAAATTATTATTTTAAAAAATTATTAACCAAATCCTTGAATAAGCAATTATTTAAGTATCTGAAGAATAAGCAATAACTAATGAAAGACGATGGCTAAGCAAAGGAATATTTTCAAGCTAGCAACAATGATCATTTATCTAAATATTAATGGCCTATGTTCTTAAATTTTAAGGCTATGGTCCTACTCAGCTGTATCAAAACAAAAAGATAAACTCACAGCTAAGCACAACCACACACCGACAGACTCTGACAACGAGAGAAGAAAAGACAAATATCACCACTTACTAGTGGAAGCAGTTTTTTTTTTTTCTCCATATAAAATTTGCAACTTGAATTTTTCATTCTAACTCCAACACTAAACACTATTGTTTAGAATGAATAAAAAGAAAAAAAAAAAGAGGAATTAAAATAAAAGAGAAGTAAACTATTTATATTATTTATGTGAATAAAAGTGAAAAATGAATTGGACCACTTTATATCAATCTTTCCTTCAAAAGTGAAGAGAAGTGGGGAAGGAAACACCAACCACCGAGTGTAAAGAACTAGCTTCAGTAATTAAATTAGAGTCCTGCTTTTTCAATTCAGATTTATTTAACTCCCTTTTACACCTACCCATAAACAGCTTTTTATCTATGCTATTCCTCTTGTGAAGCAAGAATAATGTGAAATTTTGAACAAAACATTATTGTATATTGCAGGCCTACAATGAAAAGAATTTAATTTTTTAAGGCAAAAGAAACCCACAACTAGATCACTCACTGAATGCACTTTGAACTTAATGTGTGGGAGGCAATTTCAGTGCAATCTAAAGGCCTCAATCAAAAGCTTCCCAATATGTTGTTACTACAACTGAGTCAGAATGTGGTTGCTGCTTCTTAGGATTTCTTTCTACTACATTATTTCCCTGCCTCCCTTGCATGTGAACTCCAAAATGCACCATGCTCTCCCATGGCATGTTATCTCCATTTTTCAGTGGAGTAGAGTTTGCCCTTGGCATCTTCAACTTATCTAGAGTCTCAATGTGCTTCTGAACTCTCCTAACCTTCACATCAATTTTTCCATAACCCACAAAGTATTAAAGTAAATGACATTAATAACAATTGATAATATACATTTCAGTTTTGAAAATAAAGTGTTACCTGCTCTCTTCTTTGCAATTTCAATTCACCCTCACCATAAATTTCATCCAATGTAATCAATATTCTCATCAAATTTTCAGTCAAACTCTCTATATCTAACTCTGATGCTACCCCACCTCCAGAAGCAACATTCTTCAAGACAGCAACCTACCCAATTTCATAGAATTAAAGCCATATGTGGAAATTAAAAGTGAAAATATTGCTTGTAAAACTAGATACCTTGTTGGCGAGTTTATCAACCTCAAGCTTTATTTTGCTCAAGGATTTTGAAGTCTTCTCCTTCTTAGCAATTCTTAACATTTCAAGTATTCTTCTTTCTCTACTCTCAATGTCCTCAAGCAGCACCAATTTGGACCCATCTTTGACCCTCTCAACATCAAGATATGACTTTGAATCTCTCTCTTTTTTCTTGAAAATCAGCTTCTGATCCTGAGCATGCAACCCCGAGGGTCCTGTCAACATTTTCTTCAATTCTCCTGCACTCCAATGAACCATAATCCATCAAATCATAATCAAAATAATATATAAGATAAAAAAAACCATAAAGAGAGGAATTTCTAAAACTTCACGTACCAAAACTTGCATGAGAACTGATACCAATTTCGTGATAGGATGAACCATACTTCACTTTGACTTTGATGGTGGATGAAGATGTAGAATTTAGATTCACATCTGAATTACGCTTTTGCACCACCATGCCTCCTGGCCGTAATTCCCATTCAGCCACCTTTGCACCACCAATGTCACTACTTCTACCCCTTGAAAACATGTTGATTGTTGACTTTCGTTTGTTGTTCCTTTGTGTGTCCTCTTTGACTCTTCCAAGTTTTATGGGTGCACTGGAAGAACGTGGGTCCTATCTTTACTCAGAGCACAAAGGGTACCTAAGATGTGCTTCCCTTGGATAGAAGGAAACGGAAGAAAGAAGAAAGAACCTTGACTTACCCAAAAGTCTCTTCGTGTGAAACAAAAGGAAGGTTAAGGGAAATCCAAGGGAGTAAGATTAGTCTAATTTAAAGGGAATGTAAAGTTGCAAACCTTGAAGATGTTAGTGAAAACTAACCGTCGGTGGAGAATAGTGTAGGAAATGGACAGGGAAATACTAATAGAATACCAAAAATAAAAATACTAAAATGAATAGACACCACAGAAAGTGTCAGAATTTGAAGAGAAGAATATAAAGGGTATGAAAAGGTAAAATCAAATTTGGTAACGTTAAGGAAGAGACAAAGGAGAAAATCTATGGTTTGTTAGGGATGTTTCACCCAGGATTGCTTTACTGTGTCAAATTTATTGTGTTGTACTTTTTTCGAAATAAAAGGGTAGAAGTTATTGAGAAGAGGAAGAGACTATTAATTGCACTACATTGCTTTTTTTTCTACTAGTATTATTTATTATAATTTTATAAAATGTATAACATTATACATAAAAAATTATATATAAAATTTAATATTAAATGTTATCATTTTCTATAAAAAAAAATTGTATATAATTTTCTATCTGTGCAGTGTTGTACAAATAAAAAAATCACATTTATTATACGTCACCTACTAAAATATTAATGTACACATGAGGCAAGGTAAGTCATGGCAGAAGTAACAGAGAGTTACTAGCCATGGCAAAAAAGTACGATGAAAAAAATCTGAAAACAATTGACTGTTGTATATAAGCTTGGGCATTGAGCTCATTATACCCAAAATTAAGAATATTCCTATTCCTATTCAGTAAGAATCACCAAATAGTGCTTAGTATGTGACGTGTACTACGTCATTCAAATCAGAGCTAACATTAATGGCTGCATGGGTTCCCAAAAATTACGCTAAATTTATGTTTTCTTCATTTTACTGTATGACACTGGTTATTCTTGCAGTCTTGGCACTTCCGCTATAATAAATGTCATGCTTATTAATAATTGGTTTCTCCATATATTCTTGGATTTTTTTTAATCACTATTCTTTTCTATATTATGCACAAGGTAAATGAATTAAAGAAATAAAAAAATTAAAAAAAATTTATTATATATTTTATTATATATAAAAATATTTATTAATTGATTCTTACACTTATTAAGTAATTAAAAAAGTTAAAAACATATATTTAACATCACCAACATCAAAATCATTTTAATCAAATCATAGTTTGAGGTTTTTCAAATGAAAAAGCAACCATCCTCTAAACTAGCACTGTCACTGTCTCAAACAGGCTACACACTTCAAATATTGTTTTATTTTTTGGGTGAGAGAGGGGAGGTCTTCATGAATCACAGCATTGGATTTTTGTCAAATATATTTTGGTAGTTTACTTTCAAAGCAAAAGAAAAATTTTATCGTATAATAATATGACTAGTTATTCTTTATCGTAATAAACGTTGAGTCTTAAAATATGACATGAAAAAAAAATAATAGCAGAATAATAAATTAAGATGAATGAATGCACAAGAAAGATCAAAATATAAAATGATAATACATGATAAAATATTGAAATAACACCTATAATAAAAAAAAATTAAATATCATTTAAAGTGATTTAATTATATAAAAGAAATCTTTAAAAATGTTAATGAAAAGAGTAATTTTATTATTCTTATTTAAATAAAGAAAATTCAAGAGAAACTCAAAAATTTTAAATGAAGTTATTAAAGTGAGGTCTCTTAATTAACTAAATTTTAAAAAAATTTGTTTTTGACCAACAACTGCGCAGTATAGTTCAAGTAGCGGACATAATTTAGTGACATAAAACTTTATCATCTATGCTGTATATTTTAGTAGTGCACTTATTTGTTAGTTACAAAGATTAATTATCTATATAATTATCTTATCTTTTTCTCACCATACACATCAGTTTAACTAAAGAGAAATGCATTTGACCCACATTTTCTTTCTGCAAGCACCGCTGTTTCCACAAATAGCTCATCTACACATAGGATCAGTTTTTCACAAAATCATCAATATCATGTTAGTTAATCTTTTGCAGTGATATTTTAAGAACAAAAATTCTAGACATAGCTGTTGAATCACCAGAAACAGATGAAAGCGAGAATGACACTTTTATTGATGCATTAAAAAATCTGGTTTTTCCTTCAAAAACCTTAGGGATAGTTTGGTTTAGAAATTATTTCCTATTTTCAGTTTTAATTACAAAACTGCCACTTTATTTTTCTTCTAATTACTGGTTTCAAAATTTTGTACAGAAATAGTAAAAACAGAACAAAATATTTTTGGCATTTTTGTATAAATATTTGAAAAAAGAAGACAAAATAAAAACAAAGTCATAATTTTGTAATTAAAACAAAAAACAAAAAATGCTTTCTAAAACTAGAGAACCCTTTATCGTTCTGGAAACTTCTAGCTCTCCCTCCCTGCTTTTGTTAGAGTCGTTTAGTTAACAGCTATCTTAGTCAATCTCAGACAATATTTTCAGTTCCCTATATTCTCAATATTTTTTCTCTTATCTCAACAATCAAATTCTAACATGGTATTAGAACTTAACAAAAATAACTAACTACTAAGTAAACTACTCTACCACTTCTTTTTTTTGTGGTTAAATACATTTATAGTTTCTGTAAATATAATTAAATTTAGTTTTAATCCTTAAAAAAATGTCGCTGTAAAATTTTCAATTGTTAAAATGGTTCCCCCTGCAACTTATTGATGGCATGACATGAATCTAAACACATGCCACCTCAAAATGGTCACCAGCATGATATAACTAAATGCATTATGTCATTTTACCATGCGCTGGCAAAAGTCATTTTTAAAAAAAATTTAAATTGTACACGGAACAACAATAATAAATAAAATTTTCAAAAGTAAAGTCAAATTTAACCAAATTAATAGAGACTAAAAACATTTTTAAGGTTTTTTCCATTGGCATGGTTTGCGAACACTGACAATAGGCAATTACAGGCCCAACATGCAGTAGAATACTAGCTCAACTTGTCATAGTATCTGATCCAGTCTTAAGGCAAAAAAGATTTCCAGGACATTCTAAACCTACACAATTGAGATATATCATTCTTAGGTAAGCACAGTCCCAGTCAATTTTCTAACAAATGCACTTCTAAGAAAATTAAATTCTTAGACCTATAATAGGCAGCGCATATCCAAAAACTTCTCAACACCATTGCCCTTACTTGCTGTCCAATTAGGCAGGCACCATTTGGGTACAAGATGACAACAAATTAAGGGTGTTGAGAAATAAATAGTGCAGTTATGCCATCACACATCATAGTTTCTTCATATTTCTCTATAGCTAAGATTTGAAATATAGAATTCCTTGCAGTAATTGTCGGAAATCAGAGCCATCAGAGCACAGAAATCACAAAAATACACGTTTATAACATCTCTTCAAAAACTGCTTTTATCAAACCTGCTAAAAAGATGTTCTCTAATAGCAGAAATACAATTCAACGCTAAAGCTAATAGTATGAAAAGGCCCAGCCATTTCAGAACCAAAGGAACTGTTACAAAAGATTGAAACTAAGGGCAGGAAACCTGACACAGGAAGCACATTCTCTGGCATTATCCTAATCTGATTTCAAAAATTCAAAAGAGAATAAATAGCTTCGTCTACCTCACTGTTCCTTCCGAGCTTTAGATCTGACAGGCTTGGCAGGTTTTATAATGTGACCAAGAAGAATGATAACAACAGGAACAATAGTTCCAATGTAATACACGCTTCCATAAGAGGCAAGAGTTTCATGCAGACTTAATACCTATTCAAACATAATCAAAGAAACCACAGAAAACGTGTAAAAATCTTAGAATTCCATATTTGCATGTGTAAGCCTGAGCATACAATTAGATGTGTGTGTTAATGCGTTTGTGTGTGTGCGGGAGAGAGAGAGAGAGAGGACAAACCATGAAACCAACGCAAGAGTAATTTAGTACCAAAAGTGTATAAGCAAAATTCATAAACACCAATACATTTTTAACCAGAGCCATTGTTGGAGGCATAGCTTGCTGCCATTTGTATATGACTGTTGCGGTAAAAAAAAAAAAAAAACACAGCAACACAAGTTAACTAAATGAGAAAAGAACAGCAAATGAGCCAAATTCAATACATACCTTTAGAACCAGCAATCATCAATGCTGACTGAACAAAGAATATGATGTATCCAGGGTATAAGCCCTAACATGACAAAGTTAATATGTTAAAAGAAAAGAATTGAAATCTCATGAGTCCTTACACATAAAATCATAGATAAACAATATAAAACACTAGCACAACTAAGTTGTTTCATCCAAAAGATTCTTCTTCGGCTTGCTAAATTTGATCTCTTTTTTTAATAACAAGCAGTAGAAGAAAGTAATATACAAATACCTTACATCAACCATCACAACCTGCTTACTCACATGGGTAATGTCTATTCATCTAATAATTAGTTTTTCCTAAAAATCTAGACATATATTTGCAAATATATTGTGAGTAATCTTGAAGACATAATAATGTGGACACCAGAAACAGTAGCATTAAGAAAAACAATCAATTTAAAATGAAGCTAAAATTTTACTCACATGCCAAACAGCACTAACGGTCTGGGTGGCAAGTAGCTGAAAGAAACCTGGTTTCTTCCCATTCTGAATAAGCCTCTCATAAACATCTAGCAAAATACAAATAATAGCAACATTAATATTTTATACCTCATTGTCAACCCTTATGAATGACAGGTAAATAAGTAATCTACATCAATTTTTAATTTTCAAGTCTACAGGGTAAGAATGAAAAAATTAGAAAAAATGAAAAATCAGTTGTGGACAGCTTCCCCATTAATTTTGCTCCCGGTTTGACAGCTTGATTGTGTCATTTACCGTAAATAAAATCCATGTCCTACCTCTACAAGAGAGATTGTTTTAATATGATCCAACTAATTCCCAATACAAATAACGAATTATTGAAGAACCATACAGGTAAGTTACGTAACCCCCTTAAAAATGTTATAACCAAATTGTTGCCAAAACTTAAAAATAATGCAGCTAGGACAATATGTTATGTTCGATGCCTAATATTGAAGGATGTCTTTATTCTACTGAGATAGCTAAGCAAACCCTGCAAGAAAAGCATCCAAACTCAATAGCAAGAAACTCACAATGACGAAGCCAGGTGCTGACTTGTATATTCCACACAGTTGGAATCACAACTGCGCTCGTTGCAAACTCAACACCCAATACATCTACATTTTTGGCCCGGTCCCAGCGTGGTTTTGGCGGGGACGAATCAGTCCAACCGCTGAAACCCAGGCCAGAGATGATAATAGAAGCTTCTGAAATTGACCAAATGAAATAATACTTCCACCGTGCCGAAAATCCAGACATATACTGGTAACCCAACTTTTTCCAGAATCCCCATTCTTGGTATGTAGGATCAGTAAACATGGACAGAGAAAAATGAGGCGAAAGCTTTAAATACATGGCCATGCAAAAACCAGCTTGGAGAAGTGCTCGAGCAGTCGCCCCATAAGGCGATGGCGATGGTCCTTTTGCTTCAGAACTCCAAATCTGCAGACAATAACAACAATAAAAACTAGAATTGAACTAACGAAAACAAGAACAGTCATTTATAACGTATCAGCATAAAAAAATGAGAAACTAAACTACCAGTGAATTCTACTGTGCGGTCCTGAATTCAAATTTAAGGAGAATTCAATTGGGCATTTAATATCAGTGCATCATGCTAATTCTTACTGATCAAAACCAGAATAAACAATTAAACGTACCCCTTTTCCTTCAGTCCAATCAAGATAATCCTTCATTTCATAAACAGGACCGGCAAAGTGACTCCCACAGCAGAGGCAGTAACCAACATACTCAATCAACGAAGGCATTTTAATCAAGCGGTATGTCTTCTGAGCCTCAATCAAACCCTCCTCTTTCAACAACCCATCGTTGTAATTAATTGCACACGAGATGACCTTGAGCGTCAAAACCATCAAAGCCCCTATCCCCAATTCAATACCACAATTAATGACCAAACCAACCATCACCACAAAATAACGTTACGACTATAACCATTAAATTAAACAACTCAGTTAATTCCCTCAATCTTCAATCCAGAAAATAAAAGTTAATAAACATAAAAAATTAATAAATAACAATCCATGGCTCACCAGTGGCATCGATGCCACCTTCCTTCCACGCATCGCCACTCATGTAATACACGTGGCTACAGACACGAACGAAGAACGAGAGTTAAAATAGTAAGAACATGAGAGGAATAAGAAAGATGAAGTGGATCGAACGTACCACCCAATGAGGTATCCGAATCCGGTGAAGAAGGTGATGATGCCGCATCGGGGACGATAGAGGAGCATGGCAGCGTAGCCGAGTAACATTGGAGCGAGGAAGTGAAGGTTAGAGGAGAAGCCAAAGGAGAGGTAAGAGAGAACGATACCGACGACGGCGGAGTAAAGGTGTTTGGGGAGACCACGGGGGAGCACTCGGCAGAGGAAGCTGAGGGGAATGGTGGCGACGAAGCAGAGTAGGAAGCGAAGGACAGGGACAGAGACTCCAATGGAAGCGGCCATGGAATCCAAGGGAAGGTCCATGGCCATGGCTGAAGAAGCTATGCAAATGGGAATGAACGATTGGTGTGAGTCCGATGAAGATGATGCAGTTGCATTCCCACGAGCTTTGAATTCAGCCTCTTAATTGAGAGGAATATTGTGAAATGACCAACTTACCCTTCCCATTACCTAACAAGTAATACAGCCCCTCTCTTTGCGTGCGTGCCCTGAACTTCTCACGGATCTTCATCGTCTTTCCCTCTCCTCTGTTCTTCGGAAACTCCGTCAACTTTTTTCGCGTTTTATTTTTCCTCATAAATCTTAAACATCTATTTTGCGTCTGTCCAAAGTAAACAATGCAAATTCTTATGTAATAAAATTTTATTCAAGATTCAATGTATTAATAATATCAAATAAGTATAAATTTAATTCAAAAAATTGGATACGCTTAAAGATATATTATAAACAATTAATAAATATAAGTTTTATTGAAAAATGCCATATTTCATATTATTAATGTGTTATATTTTGTTATATATTACAATTTTTAATAAAAATGTATTATAATTAAGCAAGTGTTAGAAAAATTACATAATATAAATTTCTTATTTATTTTTTTCAGTCTTTTTTATAAGAAGCAAAATAAAATACTTTTTTATTCTTATAAATAATATAGAATGAATTTAAAATTTATTAATTAATAAATTTATTTTATATTTTTTATTGTTAAATATATATTTATGAAGATTATATTATTTAATATTATATATGTTTTTAAAATAAATTTTATATTTATTGAAAATATGATTAATTTAATTCTTTTCTTACTTATAGTGATTTAATTTTTTAGTTTTTATAAAAAAGAGTAGAGAATATTAATTTTATACTACATACCTTTAAACAACATCAGAAAAAGTCAAAAACACACTAGGAGCTATTTAAATTTTAAAAAAATACTTTATATTTTAATTTTTAGTTTAAATATAAAATTAGTATTTTATTTTTATTTTTAAATATTTGTGTAGTAAACACTAAAAAGTATTTTTAATATAGTTAAAAAATAAAATTAACAATTTAATAATTACAAGTAAAATAATAATAATAATAATTTTTACAGTATTTTATAAATTAAAAGACTATTTTATTAAAAAAATATTATTATTAGTTTTATATTAAATATATATATAATAGTGGATGAAAATTAATAATTCATTTGAAAAGATATAAATATCTAAGATATTAAACAATCACAATCACAAATAAAAAATAAAAAAATAAAAAAATAAATCAAAGAGTACGGCCTTAAAAGATCCACTAAATGCGTCGCTTTTCTATTTCAATGAATAAATTGTTCTGCGGCATACGCAGATACTTAAACACTGATAAAGATGCCGTACTACCTGCTTTAAATTTTAAGATATATATATAATCGATTAGTAATTCAATTCATAATTTCTAAACAATAAACTGTAAAATGTTTAACGTCTGCATTATAATTAACTTTTTATAGTAATAAACAATTTTAATACTCAACGATGGTCAGTTATTTGGTGGTTAGAACGTAAACAAAAAAATAAGATATCTCTTTTGTTTAACTAATGGGATAAAATTGTTGTATTAACTTGATATATCTTACTTATTAATATAAATATTATCTTATAAAAAGCTAAGTCAAGAAAAATAAGAAAAGATAGATTTTCCTTTTATCCTATATATTTCTACTCCCACTACTACTGTTTTGGTCGCTAAAATTTCACATAGATTAAAAGAATTCACTAACCTTTTTTTTCTTGTACAAATTTTGGTGTTCAATCTAAATTTAACTTTTATAAATTAAAATTATTTTATATATCTCTACTTTTTTAGAATGTTCTCATTTAACTTTTCCCAATTTTAAGAACTTTAAATTAATTATAACTTGTGGATAAAAATCATTGTTAATTTTATCTCTTTAGTTTTATTTTTTTATAAATTTTCTCAAACTAAGTTATAATTATTTTTACTAATATGAATAAAATTAAATTATAACATATTTTTAATTAACAAAAATATCTTATATGCATTCATTGATTCTTTCTTTTCGTTGTTTCTAATTAGAAGAATATTTTGTAAAATGGAGGTGTTTATAATGAGAAAGAGAAATAATATGCTAAACAAATGTTAATCTTATTTAGATGTTTATAAATCATAATTTTGATTATTATCTATAAACTAGAGCACACAAAAACTATCATCCCCTCACCACTGTGAACACAAGTCATGCAGTGTCAACGGAGAATCGAAGGTACCATCTTTTTGAGGAAATGTCCTTAATTATACACTTCATTCTGATTAATTGCCCTAACAAAAATTGTACTGTACACTTTCTTCTAGTTATTGCCCTAGCAAGAGCTGTCCTCTAGGCCTTTACACGCTTACCATCTATGTAATAAATTAAAATTTAATTCAGATTAAATATTCCAGCAGATAGATTTGTGTAAAATTTTCTTGCACGGGACATGATAAAGGTTAGTGTTAATTCATAAGAAGAATTTACTTAGACTGTTTCCTAAATTTTGTTTGAGTCTATTATAGATGTCAAAAATGATCTTTTGAGCATTTAAAATAATTATGTTTATTGAGATTCAAATTCAAAATCATAATAAGTTCAACAACTCTCATCAAATGATTCTTATTAATTTTAATAATAGAGTATTCATTCTTTTAATGTAATATGAAATTTATAGAACTTTTAAATTTAAAATTTTTAAAATTTTGTATTTTTTTTAAAAATGTTATATAGCTTTTATACAAATTATTTAAAAATGTTGGTAAATTTTGCATGCATGAAAATTTATTATTATATTAGTTTATTAAAATAAATAAATTTGTTACAATAATCATAAAATGGCACATGTAAAGGAATGTCTCATTCTATTCAATTTTTTTAACAATCAAGTTTAAAAAAAAATACCCGTGTTAATTTTTAAATAGGATGTAGGATGTTAATATTTGTTTTTATATGTGTGTTTTTTAAAAAAATTTATAATAAAATTTGTTCTTGCACACATAACAACTTTAATTCTTGTATTCTATGAATGCTTGAATATTTATACTTGAACTCGATAGTTTCACTTGAGTTAAATAAAAGTATAATTTTATATCCTAATTATAAAATAAATTAAGCAAAAAATTTAATCAAATTTAAATCAAACTCAACATAATTTTATACATTTGTTTGGAATAACTAAAATAACATAACAAAATTAGAAAAAACTTATTCATGACATGTATTGTTAATGTTTGCAATCTCCAATAGTTTAAAAAATAAAATATTAATATTAATTAGATTATAATAGCATGTAGAGTTAAAATAATAAAAATATGAGAAGTTACATGTGTAATTTGAACAAGTATAACTTGAATTTTTTATAAATGTTAAAATATGTGAAGACAAGGTGAAAAAATATTAAAATACCCGTACTTACACTTACTCTATTAATATGTTGGGGGGAAAAGTCTGTGGATATTTGTGCATGAAAAACGTGTAGCATATAATCGATGGCAATCAATGAGAAAATTTAATAGAGAAATAAAGAAGAGAGAAGAAATATTAAATGTTAGATAAAAATAAGTTCATAGTGAGGTAGACCGGTATGGTTGATGAAAATGCTTACATCTTTCACGGCATTTTATTTGTCTTGATAATAGGTGTAATAATAAAATCTTTTTGATTATCTATTTTTATATAATCAAATAGTTTCTTTTTTAATTTCTTAAAGAGATACTTTACAAAAAAAAAATCAAAATTGCTTTTTTAATTTTTTAAAATTTAAACACACTTTTATTTATGTCATAAAGTTTTTTCTTTTAATGATTGGCTTTCTAAGTTCTAAATTGCTGTTTGCTTTTAATGAAATCATCAAATTCATTATTGAATTTTTGGCTTGCATAATAGGTGCAATCCCCGATTTTGTAGCGTCCAACTTCAATTGGGTTTCATGTTGCAATCGATTTTACATTAATATACGATTATTCCCCATCCCATTCTTAAAGCAATTTTGGCAATATGTTTTATTGATCTCCAGTATATACCTCACTCAGATGACATTTACCATGACCAAGAATATGCCTGCCAAGAAAGAACAAAAGAAAATATAGCATAGTAAAAAAAAATATCATGGAAACATGAACAATGTAATGATATGCCTAAATCATGCACTTTTAGGCACAAAAAACAAACAAATAAAACATTACGGTTAAAAATAGTACAAAAATATAGCATGCAGGCTATTGTGTGCTTGATTACAAGATTGTGACAAGTTATTATTATAATTGGCCAGCGAACAATTTCTATACTCATCAAGATAAGTAAATTTGCGTTTCCCTTAAGTTTCCCCACCAAAGCTTTAACATGGTACTGTCACAAGTTAAACAAATGTATCACACAAACTATTAATGATCTAAACACAATGATTGATCAGCAAATCTCTAGCAAATATATAATAAAAAACATCCCATTAGGACAACGAGCATAGAATACACCTATGCCAAAGTTGGTTTGCTAGTTGTTATCCACTGTCCAGTTTCCAGAAACACCATTTAGGCCCCAAGATGCAACATGTGGGTAGATTATTTAGTTAGAGTCCGAATCAATATTATGGGCCAAGATGTTAAGGTTCCGTCGTATTGTCCGCCTCTAGAGTCGTGTGTTAATTTTTTTACATCGCCCTTCAGAAATTTTAATTTCGAAAGGTGATTTATAAAATACTTTATAATTAAATATTCAGAAATTTGTTTAATATATTTTAAAATTAAATTTTCAAAAGATACAAAAAAAAAGGTGAGAAACGAAATTCCAAGTCTCTTATCATTCACTCATCCTCGGACCGAAAACAAAATCATTCACTCATCCGATTCAGTAAGAATCCCCCATCAATGGTACAATCACAAGAGTCTGGGATGTATTTCTAAACACTTGGATTATTGTTAATTGATAGTCTCGTTAGTTAACACCAAAGGTGTTTATGTTTAGAAGCTTATCAAACGCCAAACAAAATGGATTATTAACTCGTTATATTCTCCATACATATATTACTGTACATTATATCTTCAATATTTTGGCCATTGACAACGCACTGAACCATAAGCTTGATTGTTGACTTCACAAATAATGGAGTACGTGATTGAATATCGTCTCCTCGGGATTGAATTAGAATGCACGCTAATGATAAACCAAACACTACACGAACACAAGTTCAAGCAATTGTGATTAATTTGAATTAATATTAAATCACCGGGACACAAGTCAAGTAAAAACGAATAGCCAAGTTTCAAGTTGTGAGTATATTCCTATAGCCAATAAATATAATCCACTTTATCCCATAAAAAGTAGTCCACTTTATTCGTTTCCTTCAACTTGATCCATGTTTCATTGTCATCAAATGGTCATTTTTGTTCCATCTGCCAAAAGTATATAATATTCTTCACCAGACTAATTAAACAAATATTACACATATATACATTGCCACCTGGCTTCTACAAAATTCTAAACCTAAAAGAACCATATTAAAAACTCGATTCTCTATTCCTCCTGACGCGTCCTAAGCTCTATACACATAAATACTTGTGTACTGCTATATATTTATCACACAGGTTAAGAGTAATTCAAAAATGCCTTAACCCTTCTGAATTCACTTGGATATATGAGCACAGAATCCAAACAGAGACCACCTTTTGTGTGTGTGCAATCGATTTGAGTCATAGAGAATTTAATTTTTGTTGATGCATTGCCGTTCTCAACAACAAAATCGCCAGCATGGTAATAGATCCATTGACCTGGTCCTTTCAGAAAACACTGGGATGCAACATACTGCCCATCTGAAGTCCATAGCTGAAATCTTACAGGTTTTATGTCCCACCCATGAACATGATCTGTGCTGCAGACTCGTCGTCCAAACCTCTTGGAGGCTCTCCCTAGATGTATTCTGAAGTATAAGCTATATCTCCCAGCAGGAAATGGGAACTCAACTTCCCCATCCACTTCAAACCACCAGATTTGCTGGAGGTATGCAACAGTGCTGAATCTGCAAGTGAAAGTGATAACACTGGTTTTACTCCAAGGCTCTATTAATGCGATTCAACATTTAAACTAGACTTGAGCTACTTAGAGCTTCACAACATTGCATCATTAACCAGAATAACAAAAGAAAAAAAGTACAATCTTCATTAATTTCTACATGTTTTCCTTCACAACATCAAAAATCAAGAACAACATTCAGACAATACAGAACACTACTCAAAGCTACAAGTTTAACATGATAGGTGTATTAAACATACAGTACCATCAGGAGGCTTCTGAACATGGGTAAAAAAAGTAAATGGCCAGCCAATTTTCTAGGTAATAATAACTGTTACAATAGTCCTGGTTTTAAATTGAGGTCACAACTGCAATTCTGATCACAATATCAAGGCATCGTAGGTCTCCACAACATCTATTTTAGCGGCATCATCCTCACATGCCCACAATTTCCCACAATATGAAGATTTTTGAGGTTGCTGCAACTACAACTTAAAAGCCTTTTACAATCCTAGTTACTCTTTAACTTCATAGTTCATACATAAAACAAATTATTGGAATGGATCAGTTTATTGAACTCATCCTATGGTTGAAATCATTTGATTATCTCAATGACTACAAAAGAATAAAGCGGTAAAGTGAATAGTTTACTTTAAAAAAAATTAAAAAAAAAATACATAAAAAACCTCCAATACAGAATATAGAAAGCATTTTACTAAAAAATCATAAACTAAAAAGTTAGCACAGAAAATAATCACCATAAAGGATGGGGAATGGAATATGATTCTATGAATAACAGCACATAGAATATGGATATTACTCATATTAGCATTATTATGTATATTGGGAATTCAATTTATTATGATTTTGGAAATTTTTTTGTATTTTATGGTTACTGAGGTTCTTAATCTTAATACTTAGGGTTATCTGGGGTTTTAAGTTTTAGTAGTTTACCATCTCTCGGTAACCTAGTTGGTTAAGGATTGCTATGTTTTGAGTTCTTAGGCCATAGGGTTTAGCATGATTAAACTGGTGGAATATGGAAGGTGGAAAACTCAAGACAGAGTAAAGACGAATTTCAACCAAAGTTGTAGTCCAGAGTTTCAAAAAAGTTGACAATTTAAGGGGAAAAAATTTCCCTTAATACTTGTCTAAGATAATTGTCATCCAAAATTTTTCACCTTAATACTGTCCACCTTATCCAACTTCAAAATCTCCCTCTCCAATCCACTTCTCCCCTCTTTTCTTCTCTATTTTCTCATTATCACCTTCCCTCAAACCCCGCAACATAATTTATATAAATCAATAGCCAACACTAGGGAAATAAAAATAAAATAAAATAAAACAAAATAGTACCATAGACAATTGCTCCGATCGCTGTAAAATATAAATAATTTGCTATAAGCCAAGAAGACAATCTAACCTAGATTCTTCAGTGGGGATATGGTTCCAATATCTCCGATCATCAATCCCCGTAATTGAAAGTCCCTTCGCCGATATGCACATACATAGCTTACCCATGCTTCGATCCAGCCAAACTTTCTGCACCCCAAAAAAAAAAAAAAAAAAAAAAAAAAAAAAAAACACTTCAATTCTACTTCCAATAAACCCTATTATCATGCATAAAAAAATGGGATTAGGTTAGGTTACCTTGGTGCCTTCATCAAAAGAATTGATCCTGCAAAGCCTAGTGTAAATCCCTCGCTTGCCCAAATCGGAGGGAAAATCGGTGAAGATTTCGCGGAGAAGAACGGGATAATTGGGGGGAAGCTTCGATTCCCAGACGAAATCCGCCGAAGAAGCGCCGCGGAAGGTGCGATTCAAGGTGGCGAGCTTGCAAATCTGGGGAGGGTCCATGTAGGTCATGATCTGAGCCACGCAACTCTCGGGTAACTCGCCCAAACTGGTTTTCGACGCGGATTCCGGTGCCGGAGATGAAAATCGGAGACCCATCAACGAGCACCGCTAAATTATTCCGAAATGAAATGAAAATGAAATTGAGAGTTGGAGTGATGGCAAGTCAGCTGGGGTTTGTAATTTGTATGTCCCGACGCGGAACAGTTGTAAGTTTGTGGGTGCAATGAAAGTATTTGTTTGTTGGTTCGTTTGTTTGTTTCCTCCCAAAGCGAACGCGACAGCGGAATCTGACTCGGACTTGGACGCGAGGCACAATCTCAATCGCACATTATCCACCATCACTCTGCTTTTTTATTACCTTAACTCAATTTTCATCATTAAGGGGGTCTTAATCAGATATCAAGAACAGCCACATGTCTTCGATCAAAAGAGATAATCCTTCTTACTCTTTTTTTCTTTTATACATTTTTAATATATTTTCAAAATATGGTCAAATTATTTATTCATCTATTAAATAAATAAATATATTTACTTGTATTCTTTAATACAAATTTTATAATAAAAATATATAATTAAGACAAAAAATAATAGTAATCATTATTTTTTGTAAAAAGATCAAATAGAGTATCTTATTTAAACATTTTTTATGATATAATTAATAAATAATAAATATAATTATAGCATCCGATATTATTAATGGTATTAAATTTTATGATATCTTGTTATTTTTAATGAAAATTTACTATGTATAATTTTATTTATTTTTGGTACACATTTAAAGAATTACTATTTAAAAGAATCGTATATTATTAAAATTATTTATTATTGTGCTTAATTTTTTTATTAATGTATATCATTATTTTTTAAGGAATTTCTATCTTAATACATACAATTAAAAATTTTAAGTGAAATTCTGTTTGTTACGAAGTCAGATCTTAACAAGTTTTATCAGAAAAAAACAAAAGCTTGTTTTACGGTTGTCATTGAAACTAAAAGCGTTAGCAAAAGATTATCAAATTATCAATAAGCGGAGTCTAGTTACCTTTCCACTAATCCGTCACGACCTTCAGGTAAGTTTAAAACTATTTCCAACTTTAAGATATCGAAAAACATCTTATGATAATGTCTTAACTAATTAGATCTCATGAGATAAAATCAAGCTAACTGCTTATCTCAATTTAGGATAAATTCGTAAGTATCAGCAGACTAAACAACTGTTCAATCTTCATTGACAGGGGAAGCATGACACATCAAAGGTTACAAGGGATTGAAAGAAATAAAAATATAGAAAAAAATAAAAACCTAAGACAGAGGCAATAAGCACATGTACCCAAAGTGATTGAGGAGAAGGATTTGAAGGAAGAAGAGAAAAGAAGGGAGTAAAAAAGAGTTTAAACTTCTTAAATGTTTAATATTGAGAGGAGAGAGTTTAAACTTCTTAGCATTGTACAAAAATGTTACACACAAAAAATGGCTAGCATTGTAACACCCAAATATTGGATTAAGTACAATTGAAAAATGACGCAGTTATTACCGTAATGGTGCGTTTCTCAATCCTCGTATAATAAATACTAATTCAATTGTCATTATTTTGTAAAAGAAAAAAACAAATTATATAATTATACAATAAATAGACTAATTTTTAAGAAAAATTTTGAATTCGAAATTTGCGAATAAAAAATTAATGAAAAAAATCGAAAGACGGCGTGCTTTATTTTACTTTCGCTTCCTGTTTTCTTATTTATTTAGTTTCTTTATGTGCACATTCTAAACAAGCGACGTGCTGAAAAGAGTGAAAATAGCACATTTTTCTTCGAGCTAAGCATGAAATAGCATTGTATACTAATATAATGTAGCGTATAATGGTCGGTAACACTAAATTTGCGATCTCATTCCATTTATATTCGAAATGAATTCCCTATTCGACCACAAGGTTTTGTCGTTTTGAAATGATTATGATCCGGGTATTCTAAAACGACACCGCCCTCTAATGCACAATTCCATTTTACAGCTCAGAAAGCTGACAGCTACAGTTTGCACAACACAATTGACACCAGAAACGACTCATCATCCCAGTTTCTCCGTACAATTCAAATAAACAAATAACATCGTTTAATAAAAATAATAATATTAATAAAGAGAGAAAACCCGTTTCACCACCCATCCGACCACTGTGGTTTCGTATCCATTTTTAATGAGTACGTGTATAATTTATTTTTAAAAAAGCTAATAAAAAACACGTGTATATTTTGAAGAAAATTTATTTTTAACATTCATGGGGATGGATGTATCTTGCCAGAAAACAAAGATAAGAAGTATTTTTAAAAATAAATATTAATAATTAATAACTGATGTGTTAAAAATGTAAGATAAATATTCAAATATAATAAAAGAAAAACTATCCTTTAAATTCGAGGGCTCTCGTAGTTAAAATAGATTTATTAAATTAAATTATTCACTTGTAATACGATGAAAATTATTCAATTTTAAAATCATTGCTAGATTTTTATTGAATCTCATAAATATAAGACTTTTTAAATTTCCTCTTTAACAAGTTTAAGTTTTAGTAAATATGCTTATCTTTAATATTTTAAAAAAAATCTGTCATAAAAAATAATTTTATCTGACCCAACCATGAGTACTTCAAGGGATAGATATAAAATAGCATTTTATTTATTTATTTTAGTCTCTTATAGTTAATACTTCAATAAAAATATAACATTTAAAGAAGTTCAAAAAATAACAAAACAATCATCTTATATAAAAATATAAATTTTTAAGCTATTAAAAGTCAAATTAAGAACAAAAAAAACTAAACCAAAGGATACCTGCGCAGAATTTTAAAAAATATAAAGAGTTTGACAAAGTGAGTGTGAAAAAATAATTTATGTATTAGAAAATATTAAAAATTATTTAAGAATTAAATTTTTTATTACAATTTGAATGTTAATTTATCTGTAATTTCGATTTATTTAAATTATTTAAATTTGTTTTTTTATAAATTTTGTAATTATTTAAATTAAAATTTCATCTTAAATTTTTATTTAATAATTAATAAAATATTTATTTGAATAAATTTACAAATATATGTGTATATAAAATATTTAATAAAAATATTTTATTATAATGTTTATATTTATTTTTATTTAGATATTTTATATATTTGTTGTTATATAAATTAATAATGTGACATATTTTTATTAATTATTAGATAAAATTTTGAGTTGAAATTTTTATTTGAAAATTATAATTGAAAAATGAATACAAGATAAAATATAATAATTAAAAAATTTTCTAAATTACAATTTATTAAAAATAAGAATAATTAAAGTTATCCAAAAATAACTACAAGTGACGTGAATGAATCGTCTCAGCCACAAGTTGGTTGGACTTGCTGGCTAACGGGCACGCGTCCCAATGGGAATTGAATTAGGATCATAAGCAAGGCTGTCCAAATGCCACGTGGTTCACGCAGAGAACTCCACGTAACTACAGAGAGGCGAATTGATGTTTGAACATTTCAAGAATTGATGTTCGTGGGTATAAATATTATTCCAAATCTCCATTCTTTCATCTATTATTTTTAGTAAAATTTTAATTTTAGTTTTTGAAATATGTATTATTAGTTAAATATTTTTTTTAAATTAATTTTAAAATTAATAATATTTAATCAATTTAATTTTTAATATTAAAAATAAGTATCAAGTAAAATGACAAATAACATATATATAAACTCTAAATAGACATTTATTTTTGTCACTAAATATTAAATTATTACATTTTAATATAATTCTTTTTTTTTCTTAGAATTCAACCATCTACTTTGTTCATTTACTTTGTGTAAGGGATAATAATTGCTTGTGCGTTCGTTCATTTTTATCTTCTTTTTTTTTTTTTTGCTTGTTTTGAAAAAAGTACATATACATTTTAAAATAATAATTTTTTAGTAACAGTATAATAAAAGAAAATCATAATTCTTAAAAATTAATACTAAAATTTTTTTTCAGTAATTTTCAATTTATAACTGATGATAATAAAAGATGCTTCCTCGCATTTAATTTTATTTTTTAAATAAATTATATACAAGTACAAAATTTAAATATTTATTATTTAATTTTAATATTATATTAATGTAATATTATATTTTTTTTAATTATTTAACATATTTCAACTAATTTTATAAAACAATTCTAATTTAACAAATTATTTATAAAGTTATAAGATTATAAATTATAATTTTTTAATTAACTTATTAATTATAAGTTATAAACTTTTAGTTAATTTTATCAAACAATATATAAATTTCAGTGGATATCACAAATAAAAAATAAATAAATTTATGTACGGAAGATTTTAAGTTCAATATTATCAATTTGTTGCATAATAATAATAATAATAATAATAATAATAATAATAATAATAATAATCTTCCAATAGTTCTATTTTTATACTCTACCACTCACCAAAACTTGTGAAATTCTTAGACCAAAATATATACCGGTCACAAATTGGTCAATTTATTAGCTAAAAGGAGAGATTGAAGAATAGTTATCAAATCCTAATTTTTCAAACAAAATGAGAAATTAAACTGAATAATTTTCTATAGCCTTCTTGTTTCAATTATGAATCATTTATGTTTCGATAATAACTAATCAATTTTTTAAAATTTTTATTAATTATTAACATACGATATTTGCTTAAAAAGTTGTTGTATTTCATAACCTATACATAAAAAGTTAAACATGTCAAGACAACTTAGTTTTAAAATGTAATTTTTGGCAAAAATTTAACAGTATTATGATAAAAATATTGATTTGAGACAAATAGATGTAAGAGAACTAAATTAGAAAATAGTTTAAAATTAAAAATACAAATCACTAATCTTATCTGACTTTAGTCATATAATTTGCTTTTTATTTGTACATACATTTAGCAAACTTTAGATTTAATTTAGATGCTCTAGGGTGCTATTTAGTAATCTTAATTCTTTACACGTAAAATTAAATTGAAATTAGGTTTACTATAATAAATATTAGTTAGGCTGGTTTCATTTTGCAGCAGAGTAAAACTTATTCCTCGTCAATAACAATAATCATTAGCTTTGAAACAAAATATCTCTCATATTATCATCATTTCATTCCACGTAGAACAAAAAAATCTGAATACAATGATTAATGACAAGCTTCTCAGTCCTTGTGTTGCTCTTTTGTATTAATTCTCTCCACAGAAGAAAAAATTATCTGATGGTGGAACCATTGATGAAGACGACAAATTTATGTGTAACATGTCCAGCTCAAAATGTTGACTCCAACGATTGATCCTAGAGTTAAATCTTGATGTTTGGGCAATGGCAGGTCACTTTCAGATAGTTGTTATATATTTTTTATAATAAATTTGAGGCCTATGTTTCTTATTTTGTGCCATACATATAAGTTTAATTTTAATATTGTCAAAATAATAAAACTTAATAAATATTATCATACTCTGTAATTACTAAATCTTTTTAAAAAAACATTATTTTTAATTTATTAAGATTGTCTTTAAAAGTTTTTTTTTTCTTATAAAAGTTTACTTCTATAAACAATGGTCGTTAGCTTTAAAACAAAATATCTTTCCAACTACAAAAAAAAATTTAAAAAAAAATCTAAATACAATGACAATTGACAAGCTCCTCAGCCATTAACATACTTTCTGAGTAAACTCCCTTCACCTTATCAGAACCAAATTTTCTCTCATTGTGGAATGAGTGGTGTCAAGAAAAAAGGGACTTGAAAGAAAACAAATCTTGGTTTCCCATTTCCTGTTTTGAAAAATTGATGCAGACATCAACGGCAAATACTAGAGTTAAAATTTAATGCTTGCCCAACCATTGGACAATTATTAGCAACTTGCTACAAAGTATCGTTGATTCGAATAACTTTTTACGTAGTTGTCTCAAAATAATCAATGATAACTTATTGTCTACTTATTATTTTCTTAAGGGACTTGAAAACCACACAAACAAATTTTTTAAATGAATGGGTTCTTAGAACTTTCTCCTTGCTGATAGATAGATTGATAAGTGGGTGGGGTGTAGGCTTTATAAAGCCATTGTTTATAAAGTTATTGTATTTTATTTCTGTTTAATAACAATAGCCTTGTAAAGTTATTTTGTATATACAACGGAGGTTTGTCCAAGTAAAAAGTAATTTGATATTTAAGCAAGATTTTGGATTCAAATTCTTATATATACAAAAATAAAAATAAAATTTAATAGTAGACTCACTTACCATGTTAAAGTGTACAATCTAGATTAGATTCAAATTAAATAGGATAGAAAACTAAAAAATAAAAAAAGCCATTCTAAATATTTTTGGTCAAGCAAGCCATTGTGTTTATTCTGTGTGACCGTAGACACAGAGAAAAGCCCAAACGACAATAGGCCACAGGCAATAAACTAAGCCCATAAAAATTAAGCCTGAACAGCAAATCCAGGACCAAAACAAAAAAGAATGTATTTGACAACAAAATCTTAAATTTAAGAAAATCTCTTAAACAGACGTTTGCAATTGATAAACTTCTACAAGTTTGACAAGTTTGAAGTTAACCCCAAATTGCGACTTTGGGAAATGATAGCGTTTTATTTGTTATTTTTTGTTTGCTTCTTTTTCTTTTGATATTTTCAATCGAAGATACCCGAAAAAAATGTTTTCATATAATTATGCAATAATCATTTAAGCATATTTTTTTCTTTTACGTTGTTACATCAGAAGAATGTTTTTATCGGTGAGATTGTAAATCTAGCCAAAATCTTTGCTTCAGCTTCTTCACAAAAGAAATTTCCGAGGAAAATGTTTACAGGGTGAAATGTTTGATAGAACACAACTCTGATGTAAATCTTAACAGTATCAAACATCTATTTAACACACATTTCATTTTTATCTAACACACTTTTTCTTTCACATTATGTTATTGGATCACTCACTACTTCTCTCTTCTCTATTCCAATTTATGTTAACATGTGGGGTGGGTGTCTGCCGAACATTTTTCCTAGATTCTTTTAACTTGAAAGTGTTGTTACAAGAAACATAAATGAAATAGCAAGCAGGGAATGAAATTGTAAAGAGTGCAGTGCACAAGACACGGGCAAATCACTGAATTCATTTCATTTCATATATAAATAAAAACTTTTAACTTAAGAAAGAATTTCAGCTTACATAAAGAATAAAACAATGAACAGAAATTGACTCCAAATGTATCCGATATCTAGAAATCTGGACTACAATAAAAACAAATAACAGAAAGGCAGTATTGCTGTATTGATACAAATTGCACCAACTACTACATTTTGGGCTAGCAAAGCAAATCATATCTGCAACAAAGAATGAAAGAATAATAATAATAATAACAATGACAATATTTTCCTCTACCTACAAAGAATACTCTCCCTGACCCCTACCCTTTCTTTTTTACTCTCTGTGTATCATATCTGCTCCAAAGGAATAATAGTAATGTATGAATAAGAATAATAACAAAAGAAAACCCGTGGCAACGAATCAATAAACTCAAGTTGGCTGAGAAAAAGAGGATGAACTACCCGCAACATCAACTGGTGCCCATGCTGAAACCGTATATAAATCTTGGTCTAACCAACCAAGAGTAACTCCTGCAGCTCCTTCACTCTCTTGTTTCTTCACACAATACTTATCACAAGCATACATCTTCAACAACAACTGGCTCTGACTCATTTCCCTCTCAGTTACTCCAATGCATCTGAACCCTCCTTGCTCCACCATCATCCTCCTCCATTTCCCAAAACTCTCATGCCTCTCCAACCTGTCCCTTCCTTCACATGCAACAATGTTCCTTATTTCCCTTCCATACGTCTCTTCTATCTTCACTCTTGCTCCACTCTCTTGTGTAAGTCCACTCTCATCAATAGAATCAAAAACCGCAGAATAATACTTCAATGAGTTACACACTCTAGCCTCCAACCTTGCCTCATTGTGTTCTGCTTCTTGCTCTGCCATAACAACAACACAAGGATTGGTGCTTCTAATGAGCCCCAAAAAATCTCTTAAAGCTCCTCCACTTCCATCATAAAGGGTCTTGTGAAGCTGCAAAACACAGTTCACAGCGACACTCTCGTGTTCCTTCACGTGAAGCATCCAAAGTCTCACATCTTCGAGTCTATCCACAACTGGGTGAAACTCAAAGGGAAGGTTCAGTGCTTCAGCAAAACCAGCAAGCCTGTCTCCAGTTTCGTTAAGTTCTTGCTTTGATTCACCAATACCCGTGATTCTAACGTGGCTTGGAGGGTTTGTTCTAGAAGCCAAGCTTTGGAACAAGCTAGGCCATTGAAGCCCTTGCTTTATGTCAAAATCTATGATGTGAACCTTGTCTTTCCCTTCAAAGGCTCTTAACAGCATCTCATTTGATGTGAAATGAAGAAACTTGGGAATTGGGGTGACTTGGTTTAGAAGCCTTAAGGCAGTGCCAGTTTCATCATCATCCACTACTCTATCTAAGTCTCGAGAAGTGGGTGTGATGTGAAAAATATGAGGCCAAAGCCTTGTGACTCTAATGGCTAAGGCTTCTGTGAAATAAGCACAAATTCGGCTTATTGAAGTTCCTTTTGGAGATGCAAGATCACCCAGTTTAGCAATGAAATGGTTGATTGCAGCCACGTTTCTTGATCCAATTGCATCAACACAACCAGTGAGCAGGCTTACAAGCTCAAACCCATGATGCTCCTCTTGCTCCTCCTCTTCTCCTGTCTCCACCTCATGGTGATGATAAGGGTTCCCTGAACCGTTTCCCACTTCATGTTCTGATGCATTCTCGTTTAGCCTCAGGCTCAAGCTTTGGCTCTCTGAAGAAGCATTGGAAACTGACCCTTCTTTTACATGAGGGTCATGATGAACACCACGGTGGCTACCTTCACCAAAATTGGTGATCTTTGTGACACCAGATTCTAGCCAAGGGTTATTAGACAAAGGCAAAGGTGAGGAATGAGAAACCACTTCAGAAGGAATAAAACAAACCCTTTCTTCCTCTTCACCTGAACAGTTAAGAGAAAAAGGAAGTGAAGTGTTAAGTCCTCCGAAAGTATCAATACCAGGTTGAAACCAAAAGTTGTTGTTCCCATTATCACAATCATTGCCACCACCCTTTTTCCTTTTGGCCCTGTTGGTGAAGGACTCATGATCATGCTCAGCAAGCCTCTTCAAACTCTTGTTGTCACCCTTCTCCCAAAACTCATCCTTGATAGAATCCCCCAGTGGTGTTGCTGTTGCTGCTGTGTGAACGCTTGTGGTTGTTGCCAAAGGTGGAAGTCGAATGTTCGTCTTGAGAGAACAAGTGCTTGTCTTTGCTTCTATTGGTTTCTCCACTGAAAGCCCAACTGGCCTCAATGGCTGAGAACGTGAAGAGGTGTCTTTCCGTGGGAAGCTGCTACATGGCAAGTCCAATCTCTGCGTGCTCATGGAAGATTGCTGAAAGTGACAAGCTTGAAACTGTGCAGATGCTTCGCTCCTCAATCTGTGCCTTGGTGACAACAATGTTGAACTAGAACACCCAGCCAACATCGTCTATGCTTTTTGTATTGCTTGTTGTTTCACTCACTCCAATGCTGCTGCTTCTTTTTCTCTTCCCTTTCTCTCTATCTAGTAATAACGTGATCAACTATGCAAGAAAATAAAAGTATCTTCTTTTTTTGTTGTGCTTTCTAAAACTTATTTTGCATGCAGTGTGGGGATCTAAGTGAGTGTGTGAAAGTCTTCTTATGCCCGATAAAATAAGAACATTAGAAAAAAAGGAATCCGATGAATATAATAAACAAACGGAGAAAATGAACAGTTACAAATTCTTCAAAGTGTTCCTATATGAATAGAATCTGTAAATGGCAGGTAAATATAACAAAGAAAGAATATGAAAGCTGTTATATGCAGGAAAGAATGAAAGAATATTGGAGAGACTAATGAAAAACCTAGCACAGAAAAAAGATCATCGGATTCCAGAAACACTCAAACAAGGGTCATTAGGAAGTAGTAGTAAAGTGTTGATTTTAGTTTATGAAGAAGGGATGAGAAATAGAAACATACACCTTGGAATTTGTGGCAGAAGTCCTGAGAAATATTGAAACCCATATTAGCAGTGGAAACGTTGAACAAGTTCGTCATTGCAGCCTGTGAAGCAAAAGCCAGAAACCCCACCTCTGAATGCACCTTAAACATGCATTTGCATCACCCCTCACTTACCCAAAAGAAATCACAGGCCTTAAACACAAACACTCCACTCCACCACCATGTTAGTGTTCTTTCTTCTTTCTTCTTTCTTCTTTCTTCTTTACCACCCAAACAAAACTATCACTTGGAGCACTGTCTCCATCATCGTAGATAGTTCCCTCTTCTTTTCTGGGCCTACGAGTGGTTTCATTTACCAGCATTGGAGAAAAAGAAAGGAATAAGATGATGACAACATGGGAGGCAAAGGGGAGAGAAACTCTTTGATACTCTACCGTTCGATCTGAATCCAACGGTCCAGATACGAGGTATTATATGACCGTTGAAGGATGTCGGTGAAATATGACCGTTGCGTGAGGGAGTTGGTGTACGGATAAGTCATGACTCTGTGACTTGTCACGTGCCACGTCGCACGTACTGTCCCCTGATATCCGTTCACTTGACCGTTACCTTTCCATTGCACTGCATTTTTTTCATCCTCATCATCGTGTCTCCGTCGGACACGTGGCGCACATGAAGGACCTAGAATTCCATTCTCCACCTCCTCTGTTCACCCACTCATCACCACTTTACTGCTCTGCTTATTTTGCTGTTTCGAAAGTGCCAACCACAATTACTCTTTTTTTTTTTTTACTATGTTAATAGTATTTATCTTATGTGTAAAATAAATTTAATTTCTTTATGTATTATTCACTTCAATTTTTTCATTTTATATTGGTTGATTAATAAATGTTGTATCATATAAAAAATTTAATCCTCATAAATTTGTATCAACAACTTCTTTTTTTTTAAATAACAAGGGTGTGTTTGATTTAGTTAAAAAATATAAATTATCTCAATAATTGATTATGTGTAAAATTTATTATTATGATGATTATTTGGATATATCAGAATTTTTTTTAAATAAATTATTGTATTTATAATGTATAGAATAAATATTTTATAGCTTAAATTTATAAAAAAAATATAAAATTATAAATAATAGATAGTTTTATATTTAAAATAATTAATTAATAAGGATAAAAAATTAAATAATAAGCTAATAACTTGTCATCATAAGTTATAAACTTAGAAAGTGTTAAGGATAATTACTTTTCTCCTTGTAATTATGTTAATAGTACTTAATTTTGGTATAAATTAATTAAAAAAATTATTCATTTAAAAACTTCATATAACATTTTTTGATTAATAAATTTTGTATTTTATAAAAAAAACTAATCCTCGTAAAAGCGGAATAAAAATCAATTTTTAAAACAATAAAGTGCATTTGAATTAGTTGAAAAATATAAATGATTTGGCTAATAATTATGTGTGAAATCAATTGTTGTGATGATTAATTGTATAAAATAACTTTCGTATTTGAATGTTTTAGATAAAAAAAATATTATACTTAGATGATGTAAAATAATTATTTTTTAAGTTAGAATTTAAAATATATATATATATATAATTATTATAATAGTTAGTTTTATATTTAAAATAATTATTTATTAAAGACAAAATTTAAAATAAAAAGGAGCTATAAATTTTGTTCATGAGCTCTAAAATTTTTCTTATCTTAAATAAGTTATTTTTATTAAAAATATAATCAAAGATTCTGAAATTTTTTCAAACATAAATAAATATAACTTTTGATAATTTTTTTATATAATCAAGGAAAATAATATCATTCAAACACAGAATAAGATATTGTATAATTAATTTTTCGTGTAAATTTATATTTATACTTTTTAAAGAAATTAAATAAAATGTATTTTTTATGCTGTATCAAAATTAAATTATTATATTAAAAAATTTTAATTTATAAATTCTCAATTAATTTTATTAATTTATTCTATATTTTTTTTTATCTCTCCTTATCATATTACATCAGATTTTGTTAATTTAATCTCTTTCTGGTGAATACACAAACAAAGACGTGTCTGCGAAGTTTTTTCAATTCAAAATTAAACACAAAAAAAAATTGAATGAACGTGAATTTTCTGTACAAAGTGTAAAATAAACTAAGTGAAGAATGACGTTATACCCGTGTGGGTCATGTACTTGTTAAATAAATGATAAGACCTTGCTCATCCACGAGGATTGTGAGGTACTTTTTTATGTGCTATTTTTTGCACATTTAAATTATTTTATTCGTCAATCTTATCATCTTATTGTAAAATAAATTCTTATTCTTTTATGTTCATATGACAGGATTTTATTCACATCAAACTGTTAATTAGACTTTTGCTAGTTTGGTTTAATTTCTGAGCACAAACGTAAAAATGTACGTTCAACGTTCTTTTCGCAAGTCATAGAAGCATTTGACTACTTCCAAAATGTGAAACAAACATACTTGTAATTCACTCGAACTTTGAAAAGAGCTCCTCTCATGTCACATTATCATTGAATTGAATTTCAACCCTCAATTATATGTTGTTACAATACAAAATTTTATTAAATAACATATTTAATAAATTTGAACAATAAAATTAAACACTTCACATGAGAAGATCTTAATCCCTTGAATGTCGATCTTCATTTAATTGAGTTTTTCTCCCTTTTTTTTTTTAAATAGAATTTCAATTCCTTAAAAAATTTGTGACATTGCTTGAGACTCACTCTTTGAAGGAGTTTATCTTTATTGTAAATTATATCTTTTCTCTTATTAGTGAGTAGTTTTTTTTTTTTTACTCATTCCCTTCTTTCTTCTTTCTTTTTTACTTTCTATTTTGTTTTCAAGTTACCACTTACATTTCTTCTTCTTTGCTCTTGTTATTTGTGAGGTTCTTTATTTTCTTTTCCAATTTAGTGTTAATTGACATTGGTATATCGATTGTACTTTCCATATGACCTTTCAAGCTTCTCAAATTTGAAGCAAACTAATTATACTAATAAAGCTACTTATGTCCAAATGCAACAAAATGAAGAAGCAATGAAGAAAAATAAAAGATTTTTTTTTTCTCTTAACAACGGCTTGTTTGGAAAAACAGAGCTAGTCTTAGAATGAGAATGGATTCTTTATTTATTTCTCTTTAGTTTTTAGTTTGACTCTTTGTTTGAAATATTTTTCAGCAAGCATGTTATATTTTGTAGGGTTTTATTTTTTTAAGCACTGTAGTCTTATTCTTTTAGAGATATTTACTATTCAACAAGTACTGTTGAGCTATTGGTACTTTAATCTCATCATCTTTGAGGAAAGAAGAGTTGACATATTGACACTCAAATAAACTAGACCTGTAAGCTGCTGACGTACATTGGCCCATTTTGACCCAAGTTAATAGTCTAATCTATTTAACTAATAAAATATATTAAATTTATTTTTTAAAATTAATATATTTATATATAAATATAAAAAAATTATATAATAAAGCATATAAAAGAATTATTTGATCCACAGGGCCACAGCTAACTCGTTAAGCTAAAGGTCCAACTTGTTTAGCTCATCAGTTAAATAGACCGGATAAAAAAATTGCATTGCATTTAAACAAACTTATATTTTTGTTGTTTCTTACTTATTTAACCCTGGAGATTAAACAGACTAACCCACAGTATTGAGCTCATATACGATAATTTGTTTGGAAACACTTCAATTTTATATGCTTCACTTAATTATTATTTTTAAAATTTCTTAATAAGTATCTAAGTACAAATAAGCCAAACCAATTTTTAAACCAAGCCTTTAAATTGGATTTTATTTTCTTTCTAAGAAAAGGGGGACAATAACGGAAAATGACAGTAGCATTTTCATTAATCATGAATTATTTCAATCATATGCCTATGCTATTGTATAATATACAAAACAATCCACATAAAGATTTGGGTAATCACAAGTAAGAACTGATGATCATGTCCTTCATGTTGATCTTATAGATCTGTAAATTTATAAATTGCATCATCCAAACAGCACAAACCCAATTAAAATGCCACATCCGTGTGTGTATTGCGATCCATATTTTAATTTTAATTAACTAAAAACTTCAATAGCTTGTTTTCTAGCAAATTGCATCAAGGCATCAGATTAACTCCAAAAACAAAGCTTCTTGCTTGTTGGTTAGGCCAAGTTCATCCAGTGTCGCAGCACTTTCTCCATCACTAAAAGCACGCCTAGGATATGGTCTCACCTGTCCCAAGAATCACATCAAGAGAAACAGTCATATTGAAAATGTGAGGCAGAAATTAACCATTTCAATGAATAATTAGTATCAATAAATAAGAAAAAGAATAACAAGACTGGAAGGCTGTGAGGTTTCTCACCAGTCTGTAACTCCCTGGTTTCACCATCCTACCAATATCTATGAAGTCGAAAAGACACTGAAATTTTCCAGAAGCAAGTTTAGAAGAGGTATGCACCAAAAGAAAGGAGGAAAACAACATACTCTCTAACAGGCCATTACCTGTAGCTTATCAGATCTTAAGAATCGGCGTCCGCGGCGGCTGCCATCTGGCATTTTTACCAGCAAGGTCACAGCAGTGTCATCATCTGAGGATGGTTCTGGTGGTAGAGAGACTTCTTTGGCTGCTAACTGTGTCTCCAATTCCTGACACAATTTATGCAAGAGTAAGCAACTTGGAAATCAGGGTTTGCCTCCTATCCCTAGGAAAGTATGAATTCATAGCTAGGATTTGCAAAAGGCCATATATGCTGGATACAAATCAAGAAGAGAAAATAAAATAGAATCAAATTTTCTTGGACCAAGTGGCGGTTCTTAATGCTGTCAATGAGAATCAAAATTTCACATTTTATACATGAAAAAAATTCTATTTTCCAAAACTAGCTTAAGAGTCTCTTATTTGCACAAACATTGTCTTTAAATTCAATGAAAATAATCAATCGATCAGTTTTTAAGATGACAAAATATTGGAAACTAAGTCCTTATAAAGAGGTATGTGTCAAACACTTAATAAGGAAATCAAAAGCAATACTAGCAAGTTAGCTATAAAAGTTATTTCTAGTTTGTGCAGAGACTAGGAATAAAATCCACTCAGCAAAAGGGGGGGGAAGATTTGTGCAAGGGGCATGAAAAAACAGTGCAGTCATTTAGAAATGCATTACCTGCTCTTCCTGTAATTTCCTGCGAGATTCTTCTGCTCTCCGCCTTTCCTCTTCACGAGCAGCCTCAGCTTCCTCCAAGGCCTTCAATTCTTTTTCTCTGTCTGCTTGTAATGAAGCAAGATATTCATCATCCTGCATGAAATAAACATTGACAGCCATAGCTATAATTAGACCATCTAGAAGCTATAACTCTGATTCATTTGAGAAATAAGTCACACCTGTTGTTCCCTTATTAATCGTTGAGCTGCCAGTGACGGTGAAGGTGGGCGATATGGGCGATATGTGGGCTGAGGATTGAAACCTCTATTCTGCATGAACTCGTGTGGTGCATAAGCATACTGGTATCCACTTCCTTCTGGGATTCCACCAAACATTGCAGCCTCAAGCATTACTGCTTCATCATGCTCCTCTGAAGAAATGCCACCCCACTGCAATTTATTTTAGTCAAAGATTGAGAATTAGAAGGCAGGGACAAGTTTGAGATGGCATGAGTACCATGACAAGTAACAACAAATTTTTAATCCTTTTTTAAAAGGATAAAATTTCACCCATACCTCATCAGAGGGGAAGGAATTTCCATTATGCTGGGGATTACTGCTATCCTGTGCTGCTGTGCTTGGCAGCGTGCTGCCCTCAATAAATTCAGCATCATTGCCCAATCCTGTGGGTCCTGATGAAATATGTCTAGATCTGTTCCTAACCAGCGGCTGCTCCTCTACATCTTCAGCTTCATCATGAAAGGATAAGCTTCCTGCCTGCAATCTAGAATGACCACAATTGCCCCTTTCAGATTTGACAATCCAAGAGAATATTTGTTGGAAGGAAAATGCTGAGTTCGGAGTAGTCAATACAGGAGAGTGCAACAGCTACACAGGAGCACAAGTACAAAGAAAGAGAACATACCTTCCATTTGATGCCCCTTCCCCTAGTTCAGCCTCTGATGACTTAGATGTCCCTGCTGTTGGTGCTTCTAAATCTCCCCCTTGTACACGCAATGCTTTTTCTTGCTCAGCAGTCTGGATTCATTTCATGTTAGAAGCAATCCAGGTTTGAACTTTCCAATATAAAAGGGAAGTCAAAGCAAAGCTCTGGTCTATCCTAGTGATAACACACTGCTGAATTTTATCAAGACAGTGATATAAAGGAATAAGAAAATATAAATTAAAGGTGTACCTTCAGGGACAATGAAACTGCACGGGCAAGCTCAGAATCCTCCAAATAAGATTGCCTTGGTTGTGGTTCTGATTCACTTGAGTCCTGCACCAAGTGGAAAATAAACACTAAAACAAGCATTAAGTATAAAAGAGCATCAGAAAATTCATCAAGAAATATACATACAATTTGTCGGCTAGGTTTGTGATTTCTGTAATTTTCCTCAGCCTCCCGTTTAGAAGCCTCAATGGCTGCACGGATCATTTCTTCTTCTATGTCATTGCTATAATCTGGCAAATTCTCAGATTCAGGTGCACTAGGTCTAGCACTGCTAAAGTGTGAGGTATCAGCCATGATATTGTGCTTTGGCTCATCCTGACGTGCAATCTGGGCAGGTAGAGTATCATCATCATCTTCATCATTTACTATGACAGTCCCATGGATATCTGGACCATGGGCCTCAACAGTTCCAGTGACATCTTCAATGGTCGGAACATGGCCAGCTTGAGGAGTGGATTGTTCACCATCCTTAACTTCTATAGGAATCTCCCTTACCTCTCTTGGATGTGTAACAAATGGTGCCTGGACTGTTGAATCAAGATTAGTACCAAGTATACCTCTCCCAATTGTTGAATCAAGAAGAGAAAAGGGATTGATATCTGCTGCCGAAGCTGAAAGTGATGGAGGTCTGTTAAGTTCAGCATCAAGTTGATCATCTATATCCATGAAATCATCTTGAGTAAATGCTGCTGAGCTGTCATGAGATCTGGCCATGAAGGATTAAACTAAAATTCAAACTCACAAAAATAATCATGAATATATAGCATGCAAACAGTAATACCACTACAAGTCATATTTCCAAATGATCACTTGCTTTCTGATGGAAAAGAAAAAGAGTATACCCAGTCATTAGGTTTCTGTCTCCTTCACTAAAATGTGCATTGACGGCTTCATTGAGATTACCACCATGCTCCTGACATGAAACAATATGTACAAATGATGGAGAGACATATAAACAACCACTTGACACCACTGAAAATGTGTCAAATCTTTAGTTACACAAGGTAAACAAAACATGTTCTGTACAATTGACCAGTCACCATATACTATTTTTTATTTGATAACAAAAAAAATTATCGGTGTAGACCAATTACAAGCTGAAACTAACATAAGAAGAGTGATGGATCGCTCATCCAAGCTATACAATCAAATATATTAGAAGCTAACTCATCTGAAGTCAGTTGAATGGCTAGAATAGACACTCATATTTACTTGGTCATTGTATACGCCAAAATTTTTAAAGCTTATTAAGGTTATATGGCCCTCATTCCTCATCTACAAGAATTAGCATTTACTCCAAAGCAGATTCCAACATCAAAGACAAAAACTAAAACTTGTTGTCTTAAAGCTGAAGCCCGTCTGCACCCCATTTTTAACACCATATTATGTTACGAAAACAACAAGAAATTTGCGATGGTAAGATCAAGCTCTGTATTTCCTATATTCCTACAATGATGCCTCAACTTGTCAGCAAGGACCATAGTATTGTTATCATTCACTTAAATTGTACCTATAATTCATCCAACATTCTAGAACTGAAAACAGTGACTCGAAAAAGTATTTAGACTATCTATCCATACATTCGGAAAAAAAAGAGGAGAAATCAACCTAACTATGACTCCGAATTTCACCAAAAGAAAGAACAAGTGTACGCAAATCCACCCTCATTTGCAGAATTTCACAAACAAAGATAATAAACATTAATAAATAATTCAAAAACAACTGAAGTCATTAAGCAATGCACAAAAACCCTAACTACGATCGATTAAACAATAATCGGAAATTCCCTCACTGTTTTCTTCCAATTCCAATAAAAAACTATAAAGTAATTTAAAATTTGAAGAAAAAAGGAAAAAAGAAAAAACTACCTCGAGTTTTTGCAGTGCTGTTGCTTCAGGTAAGCCGGTGATGCTGACGAAGGTCTCCACTGCCTCCTGATTAGGCCTGGCCATTGAAATCGAAATTGTATGGAACAGAAACTCAACTGCAAAATTCAATGCTTCTTTTTCCTTTTTTTGTTTGATAAAACAAAGAAAAAAAAAAGATTTGGTATTTGTTCCCGTAAACAGAAAAGTAAAAGGGTTATAAGTATGTGCGAAATATCAAATCAATAGCGGTGGGTCTGCACACAGAGAGAGAAAAGCTTTTAGAGAGAGTTTCTTCTGGTCAGGGTTAAGGTTAATATGGTGAAAGTGATTGGAATTCCCTGATGATAATATATACGCAATCGGGAAATGGATTCAGTGCAGTTGAAAAAGGTGTATTTAATGTGCCCAATAATAAGAGTCGTTGGATGTAGATCTGACAGATGATATTCTAAGTTTGCTTTTAAGTTTTGATTTAATGAAATTAAAATCTGAACCGCGTGATCTACATCCAATGATCCGGAGTCACAGACTGCACCATATGAACTATTTCGAATCCAGATCCGCCATTTGTATCCAACTCTACTTGGTGAACAAGTATGCTCCCAAAGATGCTTGGAAAAGCATCTAACCCTTTACTACTTTGTCATTAGCTTTTCAAATAAAATTAATAATGCTAGTGTTAGGTTATTGTGAATGTGTGTACAAAAAATGACTCTTTTTGTTGTGTAAAACAAGACTTTGAACTTATTTGCTTAATTAATAAAACGTAATTTTTATGTTTTTAATGTACAAATTAAAAGTTTAAAACACTCTCTGTTGAAGAAAAAAATGAGGCAGATAAATTCCATTATTAATTAGTTAGTGTCTCCTTTGTAAATTTAAGCTTCAATAAATTTTATTTTATAAAAATAATTTTATTTAAAAGAAAAATTAACGTGATGTATATGTGTTTGAAATCTTTTTGTTTAAATGTGATTTTAGAAAAAAAAAACTTATCTTAAAAATTAAATTTTATGATATTGATTCAAAAGTAACTTTAAAAACAATATCAATTATAATGTTTTCAAAAATGTTAACACAAAATTTAAGTAAAAATTAAATAATAAAATAAAAACATTATTGTGTTATATTGACGATAATAAATTATTTTATTAGAGTATATTATTTTACAGAGAAATAACAATTCTATATTAATATAATTCAATAATTTATCTAAGATTTGAATTATAATTGCACGTATTTTGTTTGTGTCGGATATTAATCATAAAAATAAAATAATACAAAATATAATAAAAGTATTCTTATTTTTATATATTTTATAATTATATAATGTTAATGCATATTAGTTATGTACAAATAATTTTTTATTAATATAAAAATTTATAAATGTTTTTCTATGGTAAAATATATCAATCTAAAGTTAATTTATTCATTAAATAATGTCGAAACAACTTGGAAATTATTTTTTTCTGTTTATTTTATTATGCTATTGTTAATATTATTTATGCTATTTTTATATTATCATATTATACTATTTTATAATGTTAATTTATAATTTATTGTGATTATGTCAATTTTTTTATTCTTTTGATTGGTATTGTCAACCATTTACAACAATGACTTAATCATACATCCATGAACTGTAAAATAAATAACAGATTACGTAACTAATTATAAAAAATGATATAAATATTTTAATATTTTTCTTTGTAAATGTGTCACTAAAAATTATTTTTATCAGTATTTTTTTCAAATAATAGTTGTTATTATAAAAATTTTATAATACATCGAGAGAGTTTAATTGTTCATTTCAATTTTTTTTTATTGTTATTGTGTTATATTGATTTAGTGCTTTTTATAACATTAAAATGTAATAATTTATAATTTCTGAAATTTTAATACATTTTCAATAAATTAAAAACTATAAAACGTCTCATGGATAATGGCAACTTTGTTTTTACTGGATTCTATTAATTTTATAATGATAATAATAGTTATGAAAATTACAGTTTTATCATTATTTGAACATTTTGTATTTTCATTTTATCGTTAATATTATGATTTATTTATTTGGTGATACAGAGAGGGATACACTGGTTGACGTGATCTACGGATTATTGGAATTACTGGAACAGACTGTAACCGAGAACGTGTCCCACATTTTTTATTCATATATTATTATAATTTATTATAAACTATACTTTTATACCTTTGAATTATTATACTTTAATAATTATTATTATTTTGAGTTAATTGAGGTTGTTATGTAATTATAACAAAGTGTAATAACTGTGTGTTGCTTTTATTTTAATTATAAATATTTTTGTTCCTATGATATTAATTTATCATTATTTTTTATTATTTTATCATGAATTTTATGTTTTTATAGTAATTAAATTTTAATCGGTTAATAATATAAAAATATGTATCGCTACACTAAAACTAACATGATTAACAAGGTAAAGAGGAGTGAATGATAAGATTTTAATAAAAATAAATATTTTAAAATTTTATAATTTATAAAAATATAATATATTATCTCAAATTCGTGTCTCAATTTTTATTTATTTTCATAAACATAACCTTCCTAATTTAAAATAAAAAATTATCTCTTTATGTTTTTTGGCAAAACTTTACTTTCAAATATATTCTCAATGTACATAGTAAGTAGCAGTTGATTTTTTATAATTTGTTGTAATTAGAATTAGAAATATTTGATTTTTTTATATATACATAGTTAGTTATTTATAGTAATTTTATAAAAAAATTAAAAAATGTATATATTGTTGTTAACAAACCGTTGTGAAAATATTATAATTTAAATATAAATACTCGTAGTGAAATAAAAGGTTGTTTTGATGAATAATTAATATTTAAAATATGAAAAAAAACATGTTAACAGAGTTTAATTTCACTTTTTTTATGTAATTTATCTTATTTTAATTTTAATTGTTTATACTTAATTTTTATATGTTTAAAATTATTTAAGTATGTCATCTAGTAATCAGTAAAAATGTGATTACAAAGGTATGATGTATAGATTTTTCTATATCAGTTTTCAATAAAAAAATAAGACATGAAACTTTCAAATAAAAAATGTTATGTTTATTTAAATATTTTATAATTTTTTATTGTCACTTTGTATAAATTAATGATATGTCAAAATTTTGTTACATCTTTATTAATTATAAAGTGAATTTTTGAAATAAATTATTTAATAATTAAGAATATATAAAGATTAAATAAAATTAAAATTAAAGAAACTGCACCAACAAATGTTAATCTGAGTGACAAACGAGTTTATATTACTTAAACAAAAATAAAGACTCATATTTGAGTTATTGTGTATACAAAAAATTATTAGTAATAAATTATACATAAGTTCAACAAATGATATGAAATTTATTTATATAAAAAAGTTTGTCACTTTAATTATTCACTTAGCTTCATAGTTAAAATTTATTATTTTGCTTATAAATAAATTGTTTGATATATATATATATATATATATATATATATAGTTAAATTTTGATTATTAAAAAATAACTTTAATAATAAAGGAATTGATCATAAATATTTTACTAATTATGATCAGTATACATTTTTAGTTTGATATATTCTTTTTAATTTTGATTATTAGAAAATGACTTTAATGATAAAGGAATTAATCACAAATATTTTATCAATTATTATTAGTATTTATTTTTTTTACAAGCAAAATAGAAAACTCATTAGATTAAAAAAAGGAAAAATTTGTAAAAATTAGTGCAAGTTAAATTTATATTAAAAAAAATGTCTTGTTTTTAAACATAGTCAAAGAGTGAGTCCCAGTAATAATAAACTTTTTAAACATATTTATAAATTTCAACTAAAATTTATTAAAAATTATATAATTTTTTTATTACTCTTAAATCAATGTTATTTTTTTATACAATCAATTTTAATAAATAATCAATAGTGTTAAAAAAATATATCACTAACATTAGTCTAAAAAAATAGGTTTATCAAACTATTTTTTTAAATATATAAATTTTTATTACTCTTAAATTAATGTTATTTTTTTATACAATCGATTTTAATAAATAATCAATAGCGTTAAAAAAATATATCACTAACATTATTCTGAAAAAACAGGGGTAGTTTGCTAGTTGAGAAAAAGAAAACACACTCTATTTGTCTCTCAAATACACCTCGGATTTGAATCGCCTGTAGTTTTGAATTCGTTTAAGCGAAATTTGATAAAAAGTGATTTTGCCTTAAACTAAAACAAATTTGCTTAAGCCAATCTCACTTAAATTTAGAAAGAATAGCAAAAAAAACAAGAAGAAGAAAAAAGAAAGGAAGACTCAGAGAGAGCAAGAGTACAAGGGAGAGGGAGAGCGGGAGAAGACTAACAGAAGGGAAAAAGGGTTAGATGAAGAGAGAAGGGGAGGGGATGAGTGGGGGGTGAAAGGGAGGAGAGCTAGATGAGGAAAGAGGATGAAGGAGATTGTGTGGGCCGAAGGAAGAAGAGATGGGGGATCAGAAGAAAGAAAGGGACAGAGTAAGAGAGAGGGAGAAAAAGGGTGGCTGAATTAGAATGAGAGAAAAAAAGATGAAACAAAAATAACGAAAAGAATTAAGCAAAAATACGCAAGAAGAATAAGATGTTGTAGTGTAGCAAATTGTTTTACGTTAAACGAGCTTAAGCAAATTTATTTTAACTTAAGCCAAAATCACTTTTTACCAAAATTCGCTTAAGCGAATCTAAAACTATAGCCTGTAATTTCCGCAAGAACTGCAGACATCTGTATCCATAAATAAATTTTCAGCTTTTAAGTTTTGAAATTTTAGAAACATACAATTTTTTCAACATATTTAAATTAATTTTAGCATGCTTAAGTACGGCTCTTTTAAAAATTTATATAATTGACAATTTTATTAAAACAATAAATTTTTTTATAATAATTTTTCTCTTTGTTATAAGCTAAATGTTGAATACTTTGATTCCAGATTACTGACTTTTTTTTTTTATCTATTTATCTCTTTTTTTTAAATGAATTATTTAAATACAAAACTAACAATATGTATAAATAACTTAAATTATTTTACAATTTCTAGAAAAATAATTTAAAAAAATAAGCTGTCTTAATTAATTTTTATCAAATACATCCAATAATAAAACTTTCTTCTAAATCAATTTATATTTTTAGTAAAATAATCAAAGTAATTATTATTTTTAATTAATTTTATCCTTTATATATGATTTAGAGCTTTTAAAAACAGTAGAAATTATTAAAAATTATTTATTATACTCTATATCTTCAATATAATAAATTTTTTAAAAAAATTATAATTTTTAACTGTTTAAACATAATTTAAAAAATTGAGATTAATAAAATTATAATAAATTTTTACATCACAAGTAAATTATTTGTTGTTAAATTATCATTAACTAATTATGTAGGACTAATTCAAACACATAGTTAATACTAATGCAACACGTGTAAACTAGTTAAGACTATTTTAATAAATACAGTGATATTTAACTCATTAAAACAAAATAAATTATAAGATAAAAATGTAACTACATACGCACTTTATTTTATGATTACGAAAAATATTAGTAATATATTTTTTAATATATATTTTTTTAACACATTTTTAATTCTTAATTAAAATAAAAATTACAAAAAAGAAAATTTACATAAAATTTTATTAATAATTAAAAATATGTTAAAAATTACGTTATAACATTTCTCTTAATAAAGTGACAGGCTTGAAAGATGCAATTTTATATTTTTGAATTAATTAAAAGAGAAAAAAGAAAGAGGAACGACAGATTAGAAGTCGTTTTGGGGATAGTAGTCGTCTTCTCTTCCGGAAAAACCCAGAGGCACAATCGACGACAGGGAAGTTCCGATCTGAAGTGGCAAAACGTGAAGGAATACGAAGACGACGATGAAGAAGAAGAAGGTGCAATGGTTCTGGACTTGGGTGATTGGTTCCGTCATTTTGAGGGTCATTCTTCTCTACTTTCCCAAAAACCTCAACCTCTCTTCTCGCCCCGAAGTTTCCACCCCTCTCACCAGTCTCCGTCGCCGTATGCACTTCTTCCTCAACTATATATATTTTTGAAGTCCTATATTTTTCTCTTCGCTCATATTCAAGTTTTTCTTCTTCTCGCAGTGGCCGAGGGTTACTGGTTGAAGCAGTCATCAATGTCACCCTATGCTGGTTTGTCACTTCACTTTTTCTTTCTTCTGATTCGTTTATTAGCCAAGCTCTTTTGCATTATTATTTTGTATCACGTTAGAAAATCTCAAGCGCTTGTTCGTGTAACCAGGATCAATGTACCACGGTTCTCCTTTGTTGTTGACAATTCTTGGCCCGCTCACAGTTGCACGGTAGGTGTTATCAATTTTATCAGATTTTTTCTTGTTGCTTAGTTTTTATAGAGCCACACAGTAAATGTTTTAATGACATTGAAAACCTCGTCGGTGATGCAGAATTGAAGGACAACCCGATCATCTTTTATGCAGGTAACATTATTTGCCTTTTTACTTGCAATTAGTATGAATCCATCAACGTTTTTATTTCCTAAGCTTATGAATGATAATTGCTGCGGTCTTCGTTGCTCAATGATTATATTTTTCTTTGTTGATGAGAATATCATGACTTCGCAACTGCTCCTTTTGTGATACTAATTTGTGCTACCCAGTACTAAATGTTCTTTATATGTAAATGGTCATCCTGCCTGCCATTGTTTTTAGAATCCAAATGACACCATTCTTCATCCTTGCCTTAATCCTGATGCATATTGTGTACTTAGTTAAGCAGTAATTATCAACTCATTCCTGGATATAGCTTGGTTTTTGTGATTGCAGATGTGGTCAGTGCAATGCTAATTTGTGCTGCTGGTGAAAAGCTCCAGGTGGCATACAGTTCAAGTTTACAAATCCTTGGCCTTCATAACTTATCAGAGAATTCAGGTTGTTAGCATGTGCTACAAGCTTGTCCTTTTGTTCAAATTTCAGAGGTTTTACACTTGGGTGTGCTTCTCCCATTTTATTTGTTATTTTAAAGTGATAATAGACTAGGCATGTGACGTTGAAGACCCTTTGCAAATAAAGATATATTTTACCAGAAAAAAAGAGAGGTTTTTAATTTCATACACGTCTTATTGTGCAATAATGATGATCATAGCATGGTACTTGCAGTTAGATTACCAGATACTATTAACAACTTGATATGGAAGATGGAGTGCCAGTTTTGACGCTTGGCTTTGCTTTTCTTACTTTCTTTTGGAGAGTGTATTAAAAGTGGAAAGCAGGGAGAGGGAACGAAATGTCTCATTTATCATTATTTAGGGTTTATACATCAGATTCTGAATATATTTATTAAATGAAAGGAATAATCTGTAATTTTATTGACAGAGTTGAAACTTGTGGTTATAATTACATGTTTGTGTGGTTTCTGTAAACAAATGGATGGTAAAGATTTGTGTCAGTGTGGTTTTTGGGTGATAGAAAACATGATATTTCTATACCTTGCACTCTTTTTTCCAGAAAAAGAAAACATATTTATTGAATTGCTGAAATGAAAACATGATATTTGCAATTATTGTCTGCAGGGTAAGTTATGATCATATAATTTAATGTTAAAAGTCCCCATCAGGCTGTAGATCTTTTTGTAACTCTGAAAATTCTTTTTCATCCCTTTTGATAGCATCTTCATTGTTTCCAGAGCTCCTTCCTTCAGGAGATTTTGCTGCCCTGGTATACTTGTGGAACCCTTTCACGATAGTTGCATGTGTGGGTCTATCCACATCTTCAATTGAGAACATGATGGTTGTGTTATCACTTTATGGAGCATGTGCACGTAAGCAGCTAACTTTCTATGATTTTAATTTATGAACTTTTAGATATTTCATTGATCCCGCTGTCTCTCTCCTATCATATTTCATTGGTTTTTTTGTTGGCTTTTTTTTGGTTAAGATTTACTCACTCACCTAGTGGGATAAGGCTTGGTGGTGGTTGAATTTTTTTGGTCAGTAATGTTGGAAAAAAATGAAACTGCTCAGTGGTGGTGGTGCTGAAAAGAACAGCTAGTTTTTGGCTTCTTAGAGAAGTTTGAATTTTGATGAGAAATGGCAATATGATTCTCACTTTTTAGCTGAATGATTGCTTTTGTAAAAACAGACTTTGATAAACAATTTTTCCAATGATTTTTATTTCTATTCCTTTCTGCTTACCTGGAAATGTTTCTTGGTCTTAGGTTGCATTGAATAGAAAGAAATATGATTTTTTTTTTTTAACGTTTTGGTTAAGAGATAAAATCAATAAAACATGACTACTAAAGGGGCCTGAACTCTTGTACATGAAAAATGTTCTAAGACTGAACACCCAAGGCAACATTAACGAACAAAACTTTTATTTTCTGTTATTATTTTCTATCATGGTTTCTTGTGTATTTTGACTATTTTCTATCAAATTTGATGTCCAATATCCCTTTTGCCAGTAAGTAACTGACTGTGTTTCAGAAGAATTGCACTGGTTTACATGCTTGAGCCTTGCATTCAATGTCAAATTTGAAGTTTGATATTCATCTCTAACTTTTTTTCATGTTTTCCCTCACATACACAGGCATTATTTTGTTTGTAATTGACTTGAGTGGCAATATTTCCTATTGCTATATTCAGCAAGCTAATCAGTTTCTGGGAAATGCTAGTAAGAACTTGTCAAGAAATTGCGTAATGGGGAATCATAAAAGATTAAAGCAACATCAACTAAATATATCATTATCACCTTATATTAAGTGCCATATGATCTTCCTTTAATATTTTGTCTAATGTTGAAACTGTACTGATGTACGACAGGACTAGCTCCGCTGGCAGCTTTTGGGTGGGTTATGGCTACACACTTGTCTCTGTACCCTGTAATCCTTATTATCCCAGTATGTTGTTGCCTGAACCCATTATATTCAACATATTCTGCAAATATTTGTAGTCTTTAATTTACATTTTATCTATCTGTTAATAAATATATTATCTATTTTCAGGTGATATTGTTATTAGGATATGGTCCTGATGCCCCCCCTAGGAAATTATTCTTGCAAAGGAGCAGTTCCTCCTCAAGTGATAGTAGCTGTTCAGAGAAGGAAGTGAAAAATCACCTAAGGATGCTGAATGTATTCTCATGGAGGCCAGTTTTGCTTTTTTTGTTCTGGACTTTGCTGTGGTCATCCTACGTTTTAGTCCTCTGTGGCATTTATCTCCAACAGCAAGGTGGTCTACAGGAGTTGTTCAGAAGGTTTTGTTTAAATACTATTCATTTCTAACAATTTTCTAGTGGCAAAATTTATCTGCATATTTGTTTGTATATATTGTGTCCGGAGAATTCTTTCTGGTCATCTTAAAATCTTGTTATTATGGTGGCTGCAAGAATTTTGTGCTTAGTAGCAACTAGCAAGTAAAGACTGTTGCCTACAGGAAAGCAATTAAGAGTCTACGGAATATCATGTGAAAATGGTTAGACATAATTAAAATATCTCAAAAGCAATTACTGAAGTGCTGGCTTATTGTAACTTCTATTCATTACAGAGTCATCTAGCAGTTTTATAAAAACATCTGCTGCCGATGTATTTTCTTTTGTTTGGTTGAAAAGGAAATGGATAGAAAAGTTTTTTTTTAGAAACCAAAATTCAAGGGGCTGTTTGGTTTATAATTTTTTTTGTTTTCATTTTTAATTACAAAATTATCACTTATTTTCATTATGTTTCTTGATTTCAAAGATTTGTACAAGAAACACCAAAAACAGACGAAAAAAAAAGTTTTTTTTGGTGTTTCTTATACAAATCTTTGAAAGCAAGAAACAGTGAAAATGAGATGACAGTTTTGTTATTAAAAGTGAAAATATAAAACTTTTTTGAAACCAAACAACCCCAAAATTTTCTCTCTTTCCATTTTCTCTTCAATCAATTTTTTTTCTCTCCCTTCATTTTCTTTCCTCTCAACCAAACAAAGTTTAGATTTTGAAATTTTAGGTCCACATTACTGCTATTTGTTCATATAATGCTGGAAGCTACTGTTAACTGAAGTAAAAGATATCATGCAGTTTGGGAAGTCTAATCATTCATTTCCCAGTTTAGTTACTTGCATCGCATATATTGTGTATGCTATGCGCAGGTCTTTCTTCTATTATCCAAAAAGTATTATTCATGTTATTTCAACATCAGTGTTTAAGAAGTAAACTGTTGATTCTGGATGAATTTTGTGTGATGAGAATTAATGCTTTTACTATGTGCCAGAGGTAGATTTTACTGTATTATATATGCTCTGTTAATAAATGGTGATTGTGATTATGAAATTTACATTGTTCTTTTTCTTTTATTCTCTTTTGTTAACATCAGTATCAAGATCTGTTAAGTGTCAAATTTCACAAATTTCTTACTTAATTGAAATGGCTACTTTTTCAACTAATTGTAACTAACTTCCAGGTTGTTTATGCAGAACCTATGGCTTCATTCTTACAATACAAGACCTGTCTCCAAATATTGGTGTTTTGTGGTATGTTCTATAGGAAGGAAAACTACCACTTTTAGTGTAGACTTGAATGTTTTATTCCTCCCATCAACTTTGGCACTTATTTAGTTCTGATGACATTTGCATACAGGTATTTCTTTGCTGAAGTTTTTGATTTTTTCAGAAATTTCTTTCTGATAGTATTCCATGGGAATATTCTATTGATGATAGCACCATTAGCCTTGCGGCTTAATCACCGGCCATGCTTTCTAGCTTTTGTATATGTTGTGATATCTTCTATGTTGAAGTCTTATCCTTCAGTAAGTTGTTTATTGTTCCATCAGTTTCTTTTTTTGCCTAGATTCAAATTAGCTCTTAGAATATAAGCATAATGGTCTCACTGGGTGTTACTGAATGTATTTTTATGATTTGGAACGAGATGTCATTATCCATTTAAATGTTCAAGTTCAACCCATGTTATTGTAAGATTACATTGTCCAAAATAGAAATTAAAAGCCTAACACTTTTGATGGAAATATGGAACTGCAAATTTTAAGAAGATTGAAAATTGCTGAAATTGTCTAGTCTACTCTATTATCTATCTATAACTTGTCAGTAGTCAGACATTAAAAAGTCCTTCAATGATTTGTTTATTGTGTGAATTTTGATCATATTGCAATGATTGATCCCTGTACCGTTTTGTTTCCATTTTAACTAGGTTGGTGATTCAGCACTGTATTTGGGTTTACTCGGTTTATTTGCTTATGAACTCAAAGGTTACTTCTCTTTCTTACAGATCTTTTGTATTAAGCATGATCTCTTCTTGAATAATCAACTTCCTTGACTTTCAGATATGCAGTTTTCATTCTTCCTGCTTTCTGGTTATGTCGGGGTTTCACTACTTAGCCCTGTGATGCACAATTTATGGATTTGGAGGGTATGGATTTCTGTGTTGATCTACATTTTCAAATAGATTATTATCTTGTGATCCTCAGCTCCTCACCTTTGTAGTAATATTGGCAGGGTACTGGGAATGCAAATTTTTACTTTGCAACTGCAATTGCTTATGCATGCTTGCAGGTGCTTTATCTCTACTCGTTGATATTCGTTTCTCTCGTCATGTTAATATGTTTTTTCTTCACAAGTCATTTTAGCCAATAAATTATAATTGGAGGTCCTTGTCAAAATACATCAACCACGCACAATCACTTATTTTTTCATGATCAGAGTAGCATTTATTTATTCATCCATTTGGTAAAATGATCAGAGTGGCATTTAAACTTTTTCTTCACATTCATTGTAAGATAATATTTAGCAAATATGAACCTGGTTGAAGTTATATGCCTTTTCTTGTATATTTGTTATCGTGAGCCAAAGACTGATGCAAGATCACAAACTTAGCTCCTAGCCTCTGGGACACCATCAAGCGAAGGGGAAGGGGTGGGGAGATAGGAAGGGAAGAGGATTGTAAATTATTGTCAAGGAATCAAACCCTTTACTCTTTCCTAGATGCCCTAGCACATAACCAACTTAGCTACACCACCGGCACCTCATGAACCATGTTTTGTTTTATACACAAGTTCCTTGTTTTCAACGAATAAGAAATTAAGCATCGCAATTCATCTCTCACTCTGGCGGAGTACTGCATCAGTGCATTCCGATTGATAAATGTCTTCTATCTTTAAAATTGAATCAATTGATTTGACGTTGACAAGTTATCAAAATTAAGTGATTCATAACTTTGTCATCTTGTACACTTATGAATGCTTCTTGCTTCTCATATGGGCAGATCATTTTGGTGGTTGAGAGTGTTAGTGCCATGCTCAATCATGACAGAAAGGTCACAAAACTATCTACTGCAAAGCGTCAAAACATCAAATCTTAGGACTTGACAGTGTGCTTTCATGTGTCCGTTAAGTTTCTACGGCATCCCAAAGCTGCATGTGGACCTTGATCTTGGTTCCAAGATCCATTTTTATGCTGTCGTTCAATTCCTTTTGTCAACCTCTCATTTCTTTGGATGAGCATTTTTCCCCGCGGTTAGTGTGTTTGGACGCAAGGCTATGCAATCATGATGCTGAATGCTTGTAACTGGATAGAATCTGTTACAAGGATAAACAATCATATGATAATTTACGGTTGTTCTTAGAATTCTTTTGTTCTTGATCTAGCATTTAAGTTCCGATGGTTTCATTCTTCAATTACTATTTGAATGCAGAGCTTGGTTATTTTATTCGTTTTAAATTTTATGTTACTATTATGCAATTGCCGTTCGGAGAATCTGGAGCGCGTGTCTTGTAATCCACACCACCAGCTTATCGGAATAAACTTTTACACCAAAAACTCGAGCATATCTTCCGTTATTGACGAGTCTTTGTTGCGGTATTAACGAGTTCTATTATTGTATATCTAACTTTGAACACCTATACCCAATCTTATATCTTATTGTGTGTATATTTTTTATCTTTATATTTATCTATTCCGTTTATCAATGGCCGCATGCTCAGTCATGGTTCTGGATAGTGCAGTGTAAAATTAATCAGGTAATGGGTGTTGGGTTATAAACTAGATGCTGACCCCCTTCTCTTCGATTGAATCTATCTTCGTACTTGTTGGGTTTAGGGTTTGCAGTTAAAAAATTAGTTTTTGTTACGTTTTAATTAAATTTGTTGTTAAAATTAGTTTTAACTAATTTAATTATATTTAACAGTTTAAAATGAATTTTATCTAACTTTAAAATAAATGGATACAGTGCAGAGGAATGTTTGATTCGGACGTTCCATAGGCTGTGGGTCCCTACTCTTCAACTCCCAGTCTTCACGACTCGGCTTGCACGATGCATTTCATGCATTCTTTGTACCTGTCTATGGACATTCTTACTTACGTGTGAAGGAGTTCTTATTTTTTCAGGTCTATTTTTTATATTTATTTTTCACTTTCTATTTCTTTCTTTATTTTATTGACTTTGTACTTGAGGAGTGAGTGAGTGTGAACGTAACAGTGTTTCCATATGAAAAGAGCAGCAGCGATGAAGCAATTAGTGTTGTCGTATGCAATAACAAACACCCGTAAAACGCGCTTTCTTCTTGCAACATGTAAGGCATTCACATGAACAAGTGAGAGGTGTTGGACAACCACGGTCAACGACGTTCCTGTCCTGTCTTGTGTACATCTTGGACCATAACAGACAAGTGAAAAGCAGGAACTTGGATGTGATTCCAAAGAACGTGCATTCCTTGTTATAACTGGAATTTAAATAACACAATACAATATGCCTCCAAATGTGATTTCACTTACTTTGTCAATTGTCCGTCATACCAGCGTGAGGTTATTAAAACAAAACAAAAAAAACATTTTTCTTTGCTATCCCATGCGGCACACGTCACAAATAAGTGACTAGGTTATCTGGTTAGTGATATTTTACCGATTCAACTGAACAATATGAAAAAAAATGTTTACTTTTTAATAAAATTATAAATAGTATTAGATTAAAAATACTTCATACACAAGATGTTATACAACGTACTTAAATGAATGGTAATATAAATGATCAAACTGAGAAAATAACTCCATTATTTTCTTTTTCGGTTAACAGAAAACAACTCCATTAAAACGCATGTAGTGCGTTTCATGACAACGGTCCTTCATGTATTATGTTTGTTTTTAGACTCCTGGCGTCTAGAAACACCTTTGCTTCCGTTTAATTTCAGTCTGAGTCATCTAAAATCACTTGAAGGATTCAAAATTCAGTGCTTTTTTTTTTTCATTATGGTCAAATATTACTAAGTATATGTTTTTAACTTTATAATTTGGAGGAAAAAAAAATCTGACTGGTTTGGGAAAATTAACGGGTCATAAAAAATAAGAAGTGGTTAGTCGACATGCCTTCAGATTGAGTTGCGAATTTCTCAATTTATATAGGCGAGTCGTACAATTAATCGTGGCATGTGTGTTATACCAAATAATTTATGTCAACTAATCGTACACTTTGCAAGTCGTACAATTAATCGTGGCATGGTATTCTAAAAATAAGTGATTTGTTTTTCTTTTCTCTCCTCTTCCTATAATTACTCTTATTTAAAAGAAAGCTAATACTATTTAGTTTTTTTTTCCCTCTCCCACTCATTAAAAATGGCTAATACGCATATGTAAAAAGATGTTTGCGAAAACAAATGAGCAAGAGAACTTGTTTAGTAACTGGGCGGAACGCCCGTGAAGAACCACTTTTTTGCTTTGTATAGTTAATGTATGTAATTGTGCATTGCTTTTGCTGATGCCAAACTCCAACGTATTAGTTACAGATGTGGAGGAGGAGTGGAAGACCATATTTGAGCATATGTAATGGCAATCCAGCAAAAGCAAGTTGCACAATCCATGGACCCACTCTGCAAGTTTCCTTTTTTATTTATTATGATCAGAAAAGAAAACAAATATAATGTGAAAAATAGGAGTAGGACGCAGACGAAAGGGCAAAGATATTTTGAGAGATTTGATAATGAGTAAATGGAAGATGCGTGCGTGTTTCATTGCTTCACACTTGACTGCTTCAAACTCGACCTGCGTGTCTTGTCAAGTGTCGGCATCAAGCATCAACTATGTGAGTCACGTGATTTACTACTGAGTAGTATTTGGTGTCTTTCTATTCTGGGTATACTCACTAGCTATTGCTATAATTAACCATTGGTCTTTTTAAGGTACCAATCACCAACGTTCTTCTCCTCTTCCTTTGCCCTGTCATCTATGCCCTTCTCCACCATTCATCCCACGTAATGTAAGTACACCTTTTCTTTCTTTCTTTCTTTCTTTCTTTCTTTCTGTTAAAAATAAAAGGCTAAGCTAAAATGTTACTCTTCCATGTGCTAAAATAAATTAGATCCAATTTATTTTTAACAAACTATTTCATTAAAAAAAAACTGTGTAAGTGTTGTAAGAATATTTTGACTATATTACTGGTTCATGAAAATTTAACTTGACCCATCTTTTTCACATTCAATATTTGGAATTTAACGTATAAAGTTTGTAAATATATGCAACTTATCATTTAAATTTAAATTATATAAATTTATTATTTATAAATAATATTTTAATTATATTCTTAATAATGTCTGATATTTTAACTATTTTAATTATAGGTATCTTTGTACGTGATTGTAATTCTAAAATATTTTTCTTCAGAAAATTTGGGTTAGATACTCTAACAATTAAATCGAAAAAAATATGTTAATAATCAAAGATATTTTTATCTTATTTTTCAATATATAAAATAATGAACTAAAAAATATATTATTTTAGTGAATTAGTTTTTCTTCAATTTTTACATTTTTTATCTTTTAACTTTTAAAAAATTTAATTTAACCCTCAAATTTTTAAGTGTTTCAAGTATTTTTTTTTCAATATTAAGTGCATTAAAATTTACTATTTATCTTATTTTACCTATATGACTTATTCTTTTTCTACCATTCCGATTTTTTTATCTGTATAATAAGACTATTTTTAAGGAAAAATTCATGAAAACATGGTGTAGGAGTGAGAGAAAAATAAATAAAAGAAGAACAATAAAAAAGAAAAGGAAAAGAAAGAAAAATAAAGGGAGAAAAAATATAAAAAATAAGTGTAGTTGAATAGTAAATTATTATTTTTAACAAAAAAACTATATTTTTAAAATATAAATAATAAAAATAATTTTTTAAAAGTTAAAAATTAAAATATAATTAAATAAAAATATTACTCTTATCTTTGAAAAATAATCATTTAAGATTGTGACATAAAAATTAAAAAATGTGTTTAATTAATATATTTACATTAAAAGGATTGTAAAAATTTACATTGTACTTATTCTATAAGTTGTTTAAGCAACAAATGAATAGAGAAAAAAAGATATAAAATAAATTTTTAAATAATTTGAAAAAATTAATCAACTTTAAAATTGCAAAATAAACATTATTTATAAAAATTTGGCTAAAGAGACGATTTTTATAAATAAATGGAGTTAAATTTTATACTCTGTCCATTTATAATTTATTTATATGATAAATAAACATAAACAAATTATAAATACTTTTGAAATAATAATTATCTTATTATAAAATTAAAGGAAATTATAATTATATCTTTACATTATAAAATAACTAATACTAAAAAAATAATTTAAAAACTATTTTTAGAGACAAAAGAGTATAATTAGTTTGAGTAAATCATATTTAATATCTACACTTTATACATTTTGACCCCTAAAAAAAAAAGCTACAACTTATTTATTATTTGAGTAAATGTTTTTGAATTAATTATTTTCGTTCACAATTCGTTAACAACGGTAGACGAAATAAATTAAAATACAAAAAAAAAACATTTGTATAAAAATAAAATATAAATTTTAATTATAAAAATTAAGTTATAAATAAATAGCAAAATATATATTCTAACAAAAAATTAAAACAAGTGAACTTATTTTTAAAAAAATGAAGTACCAAATAAAACATTACAAATTTATAAGAAATTACAAAATTAATTTCTTAAAAGATAAAAATAAAAAATAAAAAATATTTTTATAAAGACAAAGTTTAAATAACTAAATATAGTAAAATTTTATTAAGAGAACAAATATTTATTGTAATTTTATTATAACAATGTGTACTCTAAGTAAAAAAAAAAACATTTTGAGGAGAAAAAAAAACATAAAAATTTTAAAGAACTAAAAACTTAGACTTCAAAAAAATTTATATGCAGTACAATTTCATATTTAGAGATAGTAAATATCTTCTTTATTATATATATATATCATAGCAATTGATGTATAATAATAAATACAATAAAAATGTTACAATTATCATTTTTTTATTCATTTAAAAATATGATAAAAGATGTTTTGATATTTTTGTCCAATAAGGAATAATTTAAAAATATTTATTTAAATAAACTTTAAAATTTTTAAGAAAATAAATTAAAATATATATAAAAAAATAAAAATGGAAGGGGCGTGGGAAATTGTTGAGCGGGGGCTAGTGGTCCCTCTCTGACCCGATCTGAATAGTGAGCATCGATCCATCCGTCTTCACTCGGATCGCGAGCTCTCTCTCTCTCTCTCTCTCTCTCTCGCAGCGGTTAATGTTAACAATAGGCTATGAGTCTACTTATAAGACCAGTCAATGCACGTCTATTCCCACTCCGTTTCCCCATACAATACTATCAAATTACCAATATACCCCAACATAATCTCTATAACACTACCTCTCTTTTTTTTATGATTAAATTATACATTTTAGTTTTTATAATTTACACGCATCACGTTTTTGTCACTATTACTTATAATTTAATTTTTATACAAATATTTGTATTATTTCTGTAATTTATCTTTTAATTGTTATTATTATTATAAAAAAACAAAATTATAAATAATTATTTCTTTAAAATAAAAACGTTAGTTAGTTAAATATAAAAATTAATATGTAATTTTAAAAAAATATATATTTTTTAAGTATAAAAATTAATTTGTAAACATGTCAAATATATGAATAAAATATATATTTTAATATATTATAATTTTAAAAAAATATATAATTTAAATATTTTAATTAAGTGTTTGTACAATTGTAAGGATTAAATACTTGATTAAATTTATATTTTTATATAATATATTAATTTTCATAAATTTTTATATAAAAAAATAAAATATTTATAAAATATTTAAGATACAAAATTATATTATTATTAAAAATTTAAAAAATTAACTTTATCATTTAAAATGATAAATTTGTAAATTGCCAATCATAATATAAATAAATAATTTTTATTATATCAACTTATAATTTTATGAGTGAATATTTTATTTTATTTTATTATATCAATTCAAAAAGATTAAATATATAAATATATTTTTTAACTGTAGTAAATAATATTTGTTATATGTGAATTATTTTTAGTATTTATTTAAATTTAATTATTATTTATATATTTATTGTATTAATAATAAATATATATATATTTAAACTATAAATAATATTTGATTTATATATGAATTTTTTTTATTTTTAAAATTTATCATTCTTTTATTTCGTGTCTTGTTCTTGATTTTTTTCTAAATAAAATTATTAAAAATATTTTTTCAATTTTAGTTAAAATATATTTTTAAGTTTTATAGTTAACACTTATTTATAAACTAATTATTAACTTAAAAAATTAAATTTTAATAATTGTATTATTATATTTTTATTTCTGCAGTTAAAACATAACAAAATATTTATGTAAAACATAATCGAATGTTAATTGTAAATACTAAACGTATAATTTAGCATATTTTTATTTAATCTCTTTTCCATGAAACAGTGGCAGTCTTCGTACATGCGTTATTAAACCCCATTTGAATATTCAGTGTTCAACAAACACTTTTCAATAATAAGCATTATTAAACGTATATTATCCTAAAATAATCAACACATGATTGGACTTTAATTAAACCCAAAATAATAAAAATTGGTTAGGCTTGACGGTCGGTCCATAAAGCGACACAGTTTCGTTCTTTTAACTAGAAAACCCATACACTGCTCCTTCTCCTTCATTTCTCACTTCCTTCCACCTTCTTATCTCTCTCTACCCTCCATATTTGTAGTTACTTACACACACCTTTTTTTATTCTATTGGAAAATCCAAAAGCATTTGGTAGTGAGAAGGAATGGGTAAGGCGTCGAAGTGGCTTCGCGGGTTGCTGGGTCTTAGAAAAGCAGAGTGTAGTACTTCGCCCGCCAAGCCGCAGAAAGAGAAACGCCGTTGGAGCTTCGTCAAAGCATACCCGGAGAAAGATAATAGCACTCCCGCCACCGTCGCAGAACACGTGGATAACGCCAACAACACCAAGCACGCCATGGCAGTGGCTGCGGCCACCGCTGCGGTGGCCGAGGCCGCGGTGGCTGCTGCCGAAGCGGCTGCCGTTGTTGTCAGACTCACTAGCAGCAGCGGCCGGTGCGCCGACGCCGGTGCGGTCAGGATTCGCCAACATTGGGCCGCCGTTAAGATCCAAGCCGCTTTTCGAGGCTGTTTGGTTCGTGTCACATTTTTATTTAGTGCATGTTTGATACAGAGAATAATTCTGAAAAGTTCTTTTTTTTAATAAATTATCTATACGAAGTTGGGAAAATGGGTAGTTGTTTTAATAAAAATAAGTTGAACTAAACACTCAGGTTTGTTTTCTGGTTGTTTTATGAACAAGGGTGTGATTAATAACTCAATTTATTTAATAATTTTTTATATAAAAGTTTGTATCATAGAATTTTGTCATTCTTAAAGTAAGCTGAAAAGATTTTATTACCGTAAATTATATGAAGAAATCTGTGTGAAATAAGTTTAAAAAATAAAAGGTCTTCCCAATTGTTTCAATTGTCCATAAATCGTTTTTTTTTTTAATTCACGTAAACCCAGAATCCTTTTTTAGCTTTTTTATTTTTGTGGTTTGGTTTTTGAGATGATTCCTTCTAGTTCTGTTCCTTGTGTTACTGTGCTGTTCGGTTTTGTCCGTTTCCTCCAAACTGGTTGCCTGAAAAAGTTTTACCTGCAAAATGTGTCACTTATCGTTTCCTTTTTATTTTCTTTACAGTGTCTGCATTATTGTATTTCCTTTTCATAATTTCAGGAGTAAACTTCACTTTCATGTTAATTGATTTGGAAATGATCGTTTAAAAAAGAAACGGGTGATCGACGAGCTGAAAATAATAACAGAACGATAAAAAAGAGATCATGGTTACCTCTTTATTTATTTAATATTATGGTTATTTACCTAAGCATTTAACTGATGGATAATAATAATAATAATAATAATAATATAGTTGCTTTTGTTTTGGTGCTATTTGTGCATAGAGAAAAATTTCGTGAATCTAGTGGTGATGCCGTCTTACTGGTACTTGTAAGTTCATGTACAAGGACAGCAGTGGTGGTGGACTGCATGGGTAGCTGGTTACTCTTTTTGTCTTTTGGTTCTTATGCTGGTTACTTTCGTTCGATCTTCAATGCATGATTTCTCACTACCGGCCAAATTGTCTGCGAAGCGGTGTGCAAAGTTGATTGGCCACGGTTCAGTTCTTGTACCCTGGCCCATAAAAGAATTCTGTCTTTTTGGTAAAATAATGACATTGGGCTTTTGGCCTTTTGGTTATGTGGGGACAGATACGAATCTAAAAGGGGATTTACTGAATAGTGTTAGGAGATGAAATATATTTGATGTTTCCCTTTGATGGGCTTGTATGATTCTTTCCAAGACTAACAAAAAGATGGGTAGTGTCCCGTGTGAAGGGATTTTTTGATCTGCAAGCTCTGTGGTTGACCACCTTGATCCTAATAAAATAAGTAAAGGGGTTTTTTCAATTGTCTTTTGAAAAATTTTATTGAAAAAAATTATATGAAAAACACAAGTCATTTAATGATGAATTTTTGAATAACTTCAAATATTGTTATATTTAACATTTGTATATTTAATGTTTTGACCCTACGTGTCTGTGTGCATGCGATGGAAAATCGCTGTAGATGCGGACATATACCTAAGTGTCACGGTTTAATTCAGTTCAAATGCTGCATGTGTTTTCGTTTTGTGGGGGCAGCTGGTACTGTGTTTTTTGTCTTCATTTAGATTTGGACAGATGAGTTTGTGAGGAAGGACGTGGATTTTCTTAGAAGTTAATATTCGTTAAGATTTCTTTTTTTTGAAAGTTTTTATTTGGGAATTTTTAGTTAAGAATTAAATTAGATATTATCCTGTAATCCCCTTTTGTCACCTTAATCTTAAATCCAAACAAAGTAATGATGTCATTCCAGGCCTTTCTTATTGTTCCATGAGTTTTCTGGCAGATGTTCTTTCGTTTGTGGTAATTTTCATTGAGCTCCGTTGGTAGAAAATGTAATCTTGTTGCAAGCTAGATATTAGCTTTTCTCATTTGTTGTTTAATATTGAAATTGTTAGGCAAGGAGAGCACTCCGAGCACTGAAAGGGTTGGTGAAGCTGCAAGCACTTGTGAGAGGTCAAATTGACAGGAAACGGACAGCAGAGTGGCTTAAAAAGGTGCAAGCACTCTTACGAGCACAGGCACAAGTTTCTGCAGGGTGGACTCTTCAGACCCCATCTTCGAGTGCAAAATTATCTAGCCATCTCCATGTAAGTATTATTAAATTGCTTCCTCCCTTGGTCTTGCTATCTTTTTTATGAATTTTTTGAAAGTAGCTTTTTGCTCCTAGTTGTTCTTTTTGGAAGGTGAAAGCTAATTCTTTTCTTGTTTTCAAAGTTATTAAATTTTGACGTTGTCAATCAAAATATTGGCGCCAAAATGCAGAAGTTGATGTCAGTAATTAAGATTAATAGTTGAAATGCAACTTGGAGATTAACTTGTTAACTAGTATATATCACATGATTGAGCATTTTTTTAAAAATTTGTCAACTGGATATTGCTCTTGATTATAGTTTCTCCACATGATGATTTGCAGGGTCCAGCAACACCTGAAAAATTTGAAAGTCCTATAAGATCTAAGAGCATGAAATATGAGCACTCACCTATACTCAAGGTATTCTCTTGCCTAGGGTGAATAATGTGCATTACCAAATTCAATTTGTATACTTACGGAAGTATTTATAATATTGTAGAGAAATGGCTCCAAATCATGTGTCCAGATCAATGGTAATCAAGAGATATGTTGGAATAGATCAGAGAGCCAGGTACATGAACCATCATGGAACCAAGGAAGCTCGTTGATAAGAGCTTACAGCTCCAATGATGAAAGAAATGACAGGATTCTTGAAATTGATTCTGGAAAACCACACTCCACACCCAAACGTAGAAACCTCTCTTTCTCCAACAGTAATGCTTTAGGTTCTGATCATTATAGTAAGAGTTTGAACAGCACAAAGGAGTCAACATCCCTTCAATCTGTTCAAAGTCCATATTGTGAAGTTCAGTCTTACAGCTCCCAGAAAATCAACGAGGTTGAAGAGAGCCCATTCTGCACTGCAGACAATAGTCCCCAATATTTATCTGCCACCTCTAAAGATGATGGCTTCAGAAGAAGTCCTTTTACTCCTACTAAGAGTGATGGCTCAAGAAGCTATCTTCGTGGTTATTCTGACTACCCAAGTTACATGGCATACACTGAGTCTTCAAAGGCCAAGGTCAGATCTCTAAGTGCCCCAAAACAAAGGCCCCAATATGAGAGGTCCACTTCATCATCTAATAGATACTCACTGAATGGATTTGACGTGTCAAGGTTGGCCACACACAAGGCATCTGCAATGCATACAAGTTTCTACAACAAAGCTTATCCAGGTTCTGGTCGTTTAGACAAACTTGGTATGCCTGTGGGGTATAGATACTGATTTTGATGTTTCTGTTAAAGGGGTATAGACAAATTTGCATGATCTTAACATATGAACTCCCTAACCGGTTGTACCTTGGGCTTAAATATTCATCATTAGCGTTTTGTGTTAGCATTAGAAATCTGTAACCACATAGATTGTGCATACTGACTGCTAAGTGATAGAATGACTTGACTTGCTCTTGGAGTTGTGTCTGTGGGTTATTTCCCATTCCTAGAATGTAACAGCTATCCCTCGGTCGTATATGGATCCTTATTTGTTGGTTACATAACATTGCATGCTTTTTGTATGGACAATGAGTGTTTTGATGATAAGATGTAAACAGCCCAATGTAAAGAAATAAATCACCGAAACCAAAAACGAGAATTCCATCTCAACACGAGTTCCAGCCATACAATGGATTCTCAAAAATAGAGGGGCACTTGGTGTAGTGAAAGCTCAGCTCTGAGCCCATCGCCATATTTAGCAAAAGCAAGAGAATCAGAATAAAACTCCCTGTGAGGGCGCGGATTGAAATATAACAAATCGATGTGTTCCTTAAAATAAAGTCATTATTCTATGTCATATTATAAGTTAGATGTTCATATAAAATAGAAGCAATAAATTATTGATAGAGAAATTGAATGGAAATTTTTATGTGAAAAAGATTTAAAATGATGAACTAAATAAACAAATCGTGAATTTTTGGGACCGAAACCTTGTTTTGAAAAAAAAAATACTAAAAATAATTGAACTGGATTATAAATTGCATTTCTGGTTATTGTAGGTTAATTTAACTAGAAATGTATTTATTGTTCTTGCTTAAAATAAATCAAATGATTTAAAAATTAAAGGCAAACATATCAATTCAACCATATACAAAAATAGAATAAAATGCACTCACATTGGCACACGCTTAATACAATTAAAACAAAAAATATTTTAAATAAAAACATTTTATTCTAAATATACTCATTGTGTTTGGATTTGGGATTGAATGTAAACTAATTCCTAACTAAGTGAATTAAGATTTTGATTAGATAATATAAAATAAATAAGATTGTGTAGACTTTCATCTTAATCCTAGAAAGATTTAAAACTTCAATTTGGATTTGGAAAAATTATGTGAATTCAATTTTTCAGAAACAAATTTTTACATTAAAACAGTATTATTTATTAAAAAAATACAAATTTTTGAAGGTTCAATCAATTTATTTATTTACTCTCAGCATCATATTACATAATATAGTATTTGAAACTCTCGGGAAATATTTAAATTTCAAAATAATACTGAACGTATTCCACCATTATTTTTATTTAATATAATATATTTGACATTGACACGAAGCTGTCGTGGTGTTGTTGGTTATCACGTCAATCTAACACGCTGAAGGTCTCGGGTTCGAGTCCCGACGACGCAAATTTTCTGGGCATGTTTTCTTTCATAACTAATAACAGAAAAGGGATTATAAACCCGAAGCTACTAAAAATGTTATTATTATTTGGCTTTGATTTAATCATAATATTTATCATTTTATTCTTCTTAGCTAAGATTATGGACAACGTGCAAAATACGTCTTTCCCCTCCTCCCATTGTCAAAACCCACTACACATTCAACCATACTGCCAACGTTTCTATATAGCTGTTAAGCTCTAAATGTATTAAGTAATGCTTGATTCGTAGACAGTTGAACACTGAGAACATCATAACTAAATACTATACAGATAAAACGTTTGCAAAAGTGATATTGACCGAAGCTAAACATAACATTTATAGAAGCTGAAGCATTGATGTATCAGTCAGCATTCGGGACACCAAGATAATATAACGCTACATTTGTAGAACATTCTCAGTTACACTTGGGACCTACTCATACAGCTTTAGCTGTTTCACGAACTAGAGAAAGCTTAGCCAATAGACCACACAGCTGGAGATAAGAGCCAACTCCATCACAAATTCTCATATGAGCAAATCCAGTTTCCTGCAATTTGAAGAAATCAGTGTCAATCACATACTTTATACGCACACAAACATAAGCCAAAAGATAATCATCTACCTTCAAAAATTCCAGTTTCAGGTACTCAGCCATATCATAATTTTTTATTATACGAAAAAGTGTTGTGATGATATCTGTGGGGGAATATCCTAAATCATACAGTTGCTTGAGGCCCGAACAAGCTTCATCAAAATTCCCTTCAATCACATTCCGCACCATATTCTTCACATGGAGAGGATGTGGTTGGTCACAAACCTGAAACCAGCCATAGTTTAACAAAATTAATGGTTAACTGAAAATTACAAATCACAAATCATAGTTGAGTCTAACCTTAAAAACATTTGCTTGGTTAACAAACTGGAACCCACTGTATGTTGCTTGCAAGTTATTCAATGCCTGCCTCATATCACCATCAGCAGTGAAAATGATGGCTTCAAGTCCTTCAGGAACATAGGGAACCTTCAACAATAACATAGTTCAGTTATGCATTTCAATATTATTGAAGCCAAATAGATGGTAACCAGTATTATCAAATAGCAGCCATGGTGGATTTGGAACAAAACAACATGGAAGAAGCATGGCATGGCATGGCACTATTGTTGTGGTGGCTCATGGCAGCTGTAGCTGGGAAAAAAGTGAAATGAACAATCACTTGTAGTCACTCTGCTGGACAAGGACTCTTATTTCTGAAGAACAAGGACTCTTCTCTCGAGGTAAAAAGAACTCTGCGGAAAGCTTAACCCTCTTCCATTGCAGATACAGCCATCTGCCACCATCTCCACCTTTTCTGTTCTTTAACTTCTTTCTATTACTCTCTGTTCAGTTGTACGAAACCAATCTGAAATTCAGATTTCATATTTGAAGATGATATTCTAAATTGGGCAGCTGTTTATAAGACATAAGGGGTTGGACTGGAGGGACTAGAACATATAATAGTAAGAAAACTAGAGAAGGAAAGGAACCTTCAAGTGGTCCTGAAGGTGCAAAAATTTCTCAGAAAGGTTTGGATGAAACTTCAATCTCAATCAGAAAAGAGAAAGTGGTTAAAGATTTACAATAATTGGAATTTAAAGACAGTTGTGAGGAAACAAAAGAAATTTATTGAGGACGGAAGGAGAAGAGGAAGAGGAATATGCTTCAGTATATGACAAGGGAAATGATTACAGTGGAGGAGGAAGATTTGATTTTTAATTTGCATTATCTTGTTTTCTGTTTACAATTTGCTGTTATTTGAACATGATAGTTTCCACTGTCTAGTGAACTTAAGCTATAAGCCTATAAGACTTACAATAGAATAACAGCATGATCCCTTAAGTTTGTGAAGTGTGATACTTTTTGGTGAATTTTACACATTTCCAGTTTGGTTTTTAATATACTTTTTTTTATGTGTATTTTTTTTTGTTACAGTCGCCATGCTTCCACCATCATATGCCATCCACCATTAATAACACTGGCAACTAAAAACAGTTTTATAAACATATACGCTATTCCTGAGTCCTGACCATTTCACCTTGCTAATAACAAGAACCTTTAAAACAACTTCTATGATAAAAGAAACCACAAAAAATGGGAGACTAGTACCTATGGCACATGGCATATTCTCCTATTAGATTTAGTTGTCATAACTTATTTGCAAACCTATATAAAAAACTAGGTAACATCACCATACTACTATATTACGTATCAGCTACACAACCAAGGAAGCAAGTAATCAAATATTTATAGAATATCATAATCATAAGCTCAAACAGAATAAAATGCCACTGGTTAAATACTACTACAAAACACCTTGAACTCATTCATTTACTCAAAAAGGACACTCTGCAAATCTCCCCATATAAATAGATTATTACTGGCTAGTTAGCTGGTGTAGGGAAAACAAATTAAGATGACGGCAGCATCTAAAGTCTCTCACAACTCAAGAGGTTCAATAACTTGAAATCCCTCAAAGGTAAAAAAAAAAAATCATCAAGCTTGTGACAATGGGAAAAATCAACATGTTAAAATGGCATATTCTACTTCACAAATTTTCAAATCAATATATCATGTATTTTACAAAAACATGGAACATGCCAAAGTCCAAGTGATGGCATTTCTAGGGTCCAGTACATTGCAAAATTAGAAAATTACTTTTAACAAAAACGTGAGATACTCTTTGAATGCCCTTCTATTTAGTTGACATGGTTCAGCAAAAGAAAATTACCATAGTCCTATCTGTCAAATCTTCAAAATTCCTTATTCACTTTATTACTGACTATGCAACAATAAAGATTGTCTAACACAAGCTACAAATTTCCCAGAGAGAAAGGAATGCAAAACTATAGAAGGGAAAACTGATGGGGGACGAGAAAGACCAAACAAAATGTGAAAAGGTTAAAAAGGAGAATACTAGTGCAAACACTCAGATGACAATATAGCATTGGATATGAAATTGGCAATTGAGGAGAATCAATAAGCAGGCATGGAAATAGAAAGGGAACAAAATACAGAAAAAATATCTTTTAAATTAATAGCTCACCCTTTTGGCATCAAAGAATGAACAACAAAGAAAAAAAGAAGAAGAAGAGAGAGTAGTGATTGTAATACTAATCTATAGCCTTATGATAAAGGCTTCATGCAATTTCAATTGTGGGATTTCCAATTGAGACAGATAATCAAACAATAAAGATGTTAGATCTATGCTCTTCTGACAAATAGGAACACTACAAACTTCATGTTAAAATGAATACAGATTCACAAATTGAGATACCTTCTCAGCTTGAACCACAACCATGAGGCGACCAAGTATCTCTTGATCGGACAACCGCGAAAATCGCACAATGGCACATCTACTCTGAATAGGCTCAATAATCTTAGACGAAGTATTGCAAGCAAGAGCAAACCGCGTAGTGTTAGAATATATCTCCATTGTCCTTCTCAAAGCTTGTTGTGCCCCCGACGTCATGCTGAATTGAGAATTAAAAAAATTTAAAAACCAGGTAAACCAAGAACAAGCAAGTAAGACCATAGTTGCATTCAATTAGCACAAAAAATCACCTATCAGCTTCGTCCAGTATCACTATTTTGTGTCTACCCGGAGGCAGTGTCACTTTCTTTTGAGCAAACATCTTAATCTTGTTCCTCACGACATCTATTCCTCTATAATCAAAAGTAACACGCTAGGTTAACAGAATATCGTGTGCATTTAGTCTGAAAAACAAAAAAGGAATCGAGAATCGCGAAAGGAACCTATCATCGGATGCGTTCAGTTCAAGAACGGCTTCTTTGGAATTAGGTCCGAGAAGCTGGTGTGCGAGGGCGAGAATGCTAGTGGTTTTGCCAGTTCCTGGAGGACCCTAGAAAGGGAGAGTGAGTGAGAATAATAATAGCAGTGAGTAAAGTGAGAGTGTAGTGAATGAAGAGAGATACAGAGAGAATGAGGTTGGGCATGTTGCCGTCGCGAGCGATGACTTGGAGCCTGGAGACGGCTTCTTTATTGCCGACGATGTCAGCGACCTTGCTGGGTCTGTACTTCTCTACCCATGGGACATCGTAGCTGTTGCTTGACGATGACATGCTTCCGCCGGCCACAACCACCAAAACCCTATGTGCCCGCTTTAAACTTTGGAGGGAATTCTTCCCTTGTTTTCGAGGGAAAAATACCACCCTATGCCTATTTCTTATCTCCTTCTCTCAGAATCAATTTCATGCCTTCATGGTAATTTCCATGTATTCCTCTCATATATGTTTGCATTTCTTTTAGTTGTTAAATATTTTTTATATTATATATATATATATATATATAATTTATATTTTATATATAAAAATTTATAAACTGAAATATTTATTAAATTTTTTTTAATAAAAATACCCATAAAATTATTATTCTTTAAAATTTATCATGTATATATTTTAAAATTAAAATTAACTCAAAAACTATATTCTTTTGCAGAATTGTTTTATTTTTTTATTCATTTTATTGATTTATTCTAATTTTTAAAATAAAATTTTTATTTAATATTATTGTTTTTTATATAGATTTTAAAATATTTTGTAAATATTTATTTTTATATTTATAAATTTTTTATTATCTTATATAAACTTTCAAATAGTGTAAACACCTTTATTTTTATTTATAATTTTTTATTATTTTGTATAAATTTTAAAAATTTTAAAAATACTTATGTTTATATTTATATTATTCCATTAAAATTATTATTAATTGATTTTTTTACAAATATATATTTTCTCTGTTATTTGTTAAAAATTACAAAATCTATTACTTTCATTTTTCTTTTCAAATAGAAAGTATTTTTTGAAAATTCATTGTAATCAAATTATATATATATATATATATATATATATATATTTGTCAAGATATACATTATAATTCATTTAATATTTATTAGTTTATTACATTTAATTAATTTTATAATCGTACATA